CAGCGGAACTCTGATACTCCTTGTTTTATCTATGAATCATTGACGCCCCCAAAACAACAACAACAACAAAAAAAACTACATAGTAGCAGTAGCAGTTTTTACTCTGTGTGCCTCAACCAGAGGTAACCAGCCTCAGAATAACACGTTCGCTTCTCTTGGTATTGTTGCCAACCATATTACATATTACCCCGATTGATTGATTGATTGCCGTCCAAACGTATTTGGAAATGTTGATACATTTCCACGTATTTTTATCTCAAGATACTTAAATTATCCTCACAGTTGCCCTCCTATTCAGTGAGACAGACGCTTGAGTTAAAGCAGTGGTTCTCAACCTGTGGATCGGGACCCCATTTGGGGTCGAACGACCATTTCATGGGGGTCGCCAAACAACACAGTCCACCATTTTTTTCTCCTTTTCCTTAGCTGTGCTCCTCCCTTTTATTCTATTGGCTTTTGAAAGCCAATAGAATAGACTCTCTTGAATAGAGTCTAATTCTATTGGCTTTCAAAAGCCAATAGGAATTGTCCAGGCTGTCTCTGCCCTGCTGAGCCCGCCAAAAGTCCCATTCTGCAAACAGTGCTGTACCAGTTGGGTAGTCCTCGACTTACGACCGGTTGAGTAGTCCTCAACTTACAACCGGTTGGGGGGTCACGGCATTAAAAAGGTTGAGAACCACTGAGTTAAAGAGCATTTCAAGTAGAACATAGTTTCACAGTGGGGAGGAGCCGTACCTAGAAATAAAAGGGCCATTATGATTGTCCGTGGGAGGCCGTGAAATGGGGTTAACTCGGAGATTCATTGGGGGTGTCCCAATTTTAGCAAACAGGAAGCGGTTCAGCTGAAGAGCTGGGTGTAAGCTGGAGACTGATTAGTTAGGAAGCTATTGCTAAAGGCAGTGAGATTCGTAATCTGTCCCAGGAGCTCTCTCTCTCTCTCTCACGCAGCCGTTTTCTCTGCCCTGAGAGACCTGGTTGGAAATCCCTTAATGCACTATGCCCTTCATTTATTTTTGCTACTGGACATTTGAGAGCATTTTAGAATGCTACTTTCCGAACAGCTGCCTGATGATGGATTGTGCTGAATTAAATACGTTTTTATTCCCCCCCCCTTTCCCGCGAGATGAACGGGAAAAGACTACCATCTACAGTGCAACTGCAAAAGTGGATGTTTCATTTGGTAAATTCACAAAAGAATAGGGAATAAGAGTGAACCATCCAAGTATAGTTCAACCTCTGGGCTCCACTTAAGCAAATCTGCAAATAAGGAACAAGCCCAATATTCATGAACAAATGAATATTGTTGTTTTTTTTTAGCTTAGCAGTATTGTCCTTGTCATTTTAGCTTGTCCACTGCAGGATGAAGGCCTCTTCTACATGTTTCCAACCAATACTTATACCAAACAACCCAATAAAATTAGTTTTTGAGTATCAATACAGCGACTGTAATTTAGATAATCTAGACGGGTGGGAAAAAAGATAGTAACTTTGGTTGTTGCTGTTTCTAAAACTATTTATGAATTACAAATGCTTGCATATTCCCCAGTCACGTCATCTTAGATACAAAAATCACAAAGAGAGTTGAATTTAAAAAAAAATCCTGGAAAAATATACCAGCAATCGTCACATGAAAAGAAACCAAAATAAAATAAGCACACTCATCCATTCTGATTTCTGTTAAAAAATAAAAATGCTATATGTTTTCCGAATTGTGAGTGACTGGCACCCTCTAGTGTTAGAATGAGCAGAAGAATGTGTGAGGGTGTGGGGTGTGTAAGTGGGAGACCTAAACTATGGCTAAAATCATGGAAACTGTAGAACGGATGGAAAGGATGGCCCCTGATATAGACACACAGCTGTGAGATTAATACTGAATTTATAACAGGTGTCATGAACAGAGATGCACTGATTTGAAAAACAACCTGTTGGAAAAATCTAAATTAGCCTAAATGATTAGACTTTCAGCCTCCTTTCACTAGTCTTTCAACTCATTACCTTCATTACCTTTACCCAGAATTCATACTGATCCTAGCCCCTCATATTTTTATATTTCGTAAGACTTGGCGTGTGCATAATATACAATTAGCGAAAATAAATGAAACAAGGACTAAATAATCACCACAGTTTATAGCAGGTACATTTCTGGTTTGTTGACCTGCTGTCGATTTGCTAAAACGAATAAGGCTCCCTCAGTTCTTAAAGACTGAGGTCCAGGAATCCATCTTCTTCATCTTACCCTAGTATTAGCTATGTAAACATGTAATTTCAGGCTTCCAGGCAATATGTTTTCCAAACTCTTCCTGAAGAATCCATAATTAAATTTTGAGCCCATATGGAGTGTGGCGGTCTATAAACAAAGCCGGTAAATAAACTTTCTCCATGCAAATCACGTATTCCAGGGGTGTCAAACTCAATTTCATTGAGGCTGCATCAGCATTGCGGTTGCCCTCGGGGGGGGGGGAGGTGGGTGTGGCCAGGGTGGGCATGGAGTGGGTGTGGCCTACTGGGTGGGCATGGCCAGCTCTACATCGTTCACGTCAAGGGTGCCTGTGGGGGCCTGGGCAGGAGTGGGACAGATCTGAGGGTCTCTGGCAGAAGGGGGTGGGACCGGGGCAAGCGCCAAGGCATAGTCCATTTCTTCATTCCTCACAAAGGGTGACACCTCCCCAGCATGCACCCAGGGGGCGGGGCCAATGCAGCAGGGGCTGGTTCCTCGCTGTTTCTAGACGGCTTTGTGGAGCTAAGACTGAATGCGTTTCAGCATAGATGGCAACCACAAAATTGTACATTGGTTCCCAGCTGGCCTGGGCCAGGGCCAAGGCAGCAGGGGCCGTTCCCTCACTGTTTCCAGGATGGCTTCATGGGCCACATGAAACTATTTCGCGGGCCGCATCCAGCCCCCGGGCCTTGTGTTTGACATGTCCGACGTATTCTATCAATGTGCTACAGGGTTTCTCCATTGTTTACTAAAGTACCTTCTATACTTTGAGGATGGGTTGAAAGAAAAAGACTGTAAACAATGCATGAGAAATGCAAAAATCCCCTTTGTCCCTTGCATTACTTTCTTCTACATAATCACAGATAAGCAGAAAAGGAAGAAAACTGCTATTCAGATATATTCACTTACAGAATTATCAAACATTCATGAGAGCAAATGGAACATCTGTGACCAGAAATAGTATACCTCCGATTATGTCTGGCTATAAACCATTGTTTGCCTTGCTTGTGACTAGTCAGAAATATCTTGGCTGACTGTCATTAATATGCTGAAGGAGATGACTCCTTATTCTCAGCCATGCTAAGGAACTTATATGTTCTTTACAGACTACATTTCCAAGATTTAAATGGAAAAAAAAAAGAACCCCGGGAATGTACAGTATATTTCAGCTTGACTTATCCTTAACTTTGATTCTTAATTTCACTTCGATTTTAATTCCCAAAAAATTGAACTGTAATTTAAAAACATGAACACATTTTGACAGATGCGTAACATCTGTCAAAATAATTAGGATAGGGTGGCAGGACTTCCGGAGATGTCAACCAGTGGAGCACCGATGGGATCCAGATTTGATGTGAGATCATGGAATACATTTATTTATTTATTTATTTATTTATTTATTTATTTATTTTCAATATTTATATGCCGCCCAATCCCAAAGGACTCAGGGCGGCGTACAAAGTTAAAACAATGATAAAAGAATAAAATAAAGCAGTCATACCGCGAGTCCGATCATATCCCGGCCCCCCGGGGACATCAGCCCCAGGCCTGCCGGAACAGGAGGGTTTTAACGGCTTTCTTAAAGGCCGGCAGGGTGGGAATAGTTCGAACCTCGGGGGGAAGCTGATTCCACCAGGTCGGAGCCACCACAGAAAAGGCCCTTCCCCGAGGGCCCGCCAGCCGACATTGTCTGGCCGACGGGACCTGAAGGAGGCCCAATCTATGGGACCTCACCGGACTCTGGGAGCTATGCGGCAGAATGCGGTTCTGTAAGTAACCTGGCCCTATGCCATGAAGGGCTTTAAAGGTGATAACCAACACCTTGAATTGCATCCGGAGACCCACAGGAAGCCAGTGCAGCTCGCGGAGGATAGGTGACACATGGGCATACCTTGGCGCGCCCACAATCGCTCTCGCGGCTGCTTTCTGAACCAACTGCAGCCTCCGAACGCTCTTCAAGGGTAGCCCCATGTAGAGCGCATTACAGTAATCCAGTCTTGAGGTGACAAGGGCATGAGTGACTGTGAGTAAAGCCTCCCGGTCCAAATAAGGCCGCAACTGGTGCACTAGGCGAACCTGTGCAAAGGTCCCCCTGGCCACAGCTGATAGATGTTGTTCCAGATTTAGCTGTGAGTCCAGGAGGACACCCAAGTTGCGTGCCTGCACTGAGGGAGGTAAATTGGCCCCCCCCCAGGACTAAAGATGGACCATCCAGTTGGCCTTTGGGAGGCAAGACCCAGAGCCACTCGGTCTTGTCAGGGTTGAGTCTAAGCCTGTTCACCCCCATCCAGACCCTCACATCTTCCAGGCACCAGCACATCACGTCGACTGCTTCACTGAAAGGACATAGTACATAGTAATTTAAATGCAACAGCTCGCTGCATTTACCATTTATGCACATGTGTATTATTATGCGTTTAAACTTCTGAGATTGGTAATTGAAGAATGGAACAAAATACGAATTCAAAGTATCTCCTCATCTAATATGTTAAGAAAACCCATTGATCAAAGGTGTCAATTTTTCTTGTTCTTGTGCCAACGCTCGACATCAATTTAACTATTTTTATACAATCACAATCTGTTTCGGAAATTAAATACCCTGATTAAGAGTGTTCATATACAAATCAACGTGCATTTTGGGAAAAGAGGACGGAAGTGGGACTACTAAGTCTCATGCTCTATTACGCTAATCTAGACAGAGCAAAATCAAGAAAGATCGTATTTGCTGACAGAGGTACAAATCGATAGAAACAGGGATAAGAAAACGTGATTTATGAATTACCGTGATTACAAGGTTTCAAAACAGGTGCCGTAGAAGTAGAGCTGAAATCCTGGGGTTCAACTGGAGATTTTTTAAAAAAAAAAAACAAATAACTAAATAAATCATAGATTTCTTTTTAAAAACAAAAGATTAAAAAACCGACAGAAAATCCACTGATCACTTTTTTTTTTTTTAATCCAAAGGGACCATGATTCCACAGACATTATCCTGTCACAAATAAAGCTACAGATCCTCTAGTCTAGGAGAAAAACACAGAGCAGAACAGGAGGAAAAGTTGAGGCAAAGAATCCTGAACTTAGAAAGCAAGGCTGTTATTCTTTGTAAAATGTGGCTTGCAAACACAATGTTCAGGTGTACATCCTTGCTACATTTGCCTTTGCAATATAAAATGGATTTAAAAAAAACACACACACATGCTCCAAAGCAGTTTTGGCCTGCATTTTTCCACCAACGGGTGGGTTATCTTAAACTAGGCTTGTGGCATGATTCTATAGAAAGTAAGAGAGAGAGTCAGAAAGGAGGGAAGAGAGAGAAAAAAAGAAATTATTTACCTTTAAACCTGGGTGCTTGCTTTCTTCGATTGCGGAAAGCTGCCCCTGACTGCAGAGCCTCCAGCAAACTATCCATCACTCCTGTCTCATCCTTTTCTGTGAAAAACAAATGGCAGAGAATTCCTTCTGTTTTCTGGGTTACCATAGCAATGTCAAAGGATTTAGAGGGATACAGGGAATACTCTGGAAATAAAAACCTGACCGTTCCAAGTTCAGATAAACCTTGAATTCTCTCACCGATCAGATTCTCAAGCCGTGAGCTTGGAGGCCGTTTCACCCTGCGGTGGCTAAAGCACACTCGGCTTAAGTTTGATTAAGTTCCACCACACAACGCGGGCTGAAACGAGAGGCGACGAGAATTTCAAGCGCGGCGCAACTTCGACCTCGCGCTTTGGCGCCCTTCTAAAAGCTGGTAATCGTCACGCGGAAATTCTCTCAGAGAAATGTATCTGCGAGGCGACCATTCTTGGCAAAAGCTACATTAAGCTCTTCTGCTTTCTTTAATGGATAAAAGCGCGGATGGGTCTCTAGTGCTTCCATTCTAGACATGGTGAATTATTACACTGAACTTTTAGATTCTTTTTCTTTCTTTCTTTCTTTCTTCTTCTAAAGGAACATTGGAATGAAAGGGAAAATTCTGCCCTAGTCTGTTAGGCATGAAACAATCATTTCTCTTATAAAGCTAGAGGATCTTATAAAGCCACTTACAGTCTCGAGAGCAGCTGAAAAACGATGGGTGCTTAATACCTCCTGACAATACTTTCCATCTGTAACTGGAGTTAATTTATTTCTTTTAATCTGCATGCATGCGCTGCTCGTTAAATAACTGAAAAACGTCTTCGGTTTCTTAAACAACAATATTAATACTTTTGTGTTGGCAGCAGCAACGTGTTTCCGTGGTGAACGGATGTCACTGGTGACATTAGTGTTGCCCAAGGGATGGGGAGGGGGTCCTTTCACGTCCCCGTGAAGTTGCTCACCGAAGTAGTATTCATTAATCTACTTGCAGTCACCCACTTTCAAATCGTTGGGTTGATGGGAGCTAGAGAGGGTGACAGGCAGCTCAACCTGCCTCACGCAACAGGTTTCAAACGGGAGGCTGCCAATCATCGGCCCAGCATTCTAACCTCAGGAGCCACTGCGCTCCTCTCAAACACAAGGTATTTTTTTTTAATGATTAGTTACCTTAGTTTTAATTGGAAGGAGTTGAAAGGGGAATGAGATTAATACCACAAGGTTCAATGCTTCAGCCATTTATTTATGGAACTGTAAAAGTTAAAACTAATGTTCTGAGGCTTGGTTATCTCTGCAACTTACTTGGAGAAAGAGACCTGAAACAAGTTTTTTTTAAAAATTATTATTATTATTATTATTAATCATCGCAGTCAGCCAGATGTTCAGACTGGATTTGGCATTTTTGTCCACCTATCGAGTCCTTTCCAAGGACCTGGGATAGGCAGAGGTGGATGTTTGATAGCATTACAGATATCATCCCAGGATGGAAGCAGTTCCTAGTAAGGCCGCCTTTTGCAATTGACTAATGGCGAATTTGTCAATGCCAATGGTGTTCAAGTGGTGCTCCAGTTGTTTTGGGATTGCCTTCAAGGAGCCTATGACTATTGGTACTACCCTTGCTTGCTTTTGCCACAGTCTTTCTATTTCTATTTGTAGGTCTTTGTATTTTGTTATTTTCTCCAGTTCTTTCTTGTCTATTCTGCTGTCTCCAGGCACTGCCACGTCCACTATGCAGACTTTTTTGTCTTTCTTATCGACAATTGTTAAGTCTGGGGTGTTATGTTGCAGGTGCTTGTCTGTTTGAATTCCGAAGTCCCAGAGCAGTTTAATTTTATCATTTTCTACCAGTTCTTGCTTATAGGCAAATGATATTTCTTGCAGATCTTCCAATGCACCATTGTTACTACTTTGTCATGCCGCTGCTTGTAGTCAGTCTGTGTGATCTTCTTGCAGCAGCTTACCAGGTGATCCACTGTTTCTTCAGCTTCTTTGCATAGGCGGCACTTACTGTCTGTTGCTGTCTTCTCAATTTTGACTTTATATGGATTATTATTATTAAAATTTATTGGCTGCCCATCTTACCCTCTGTGGTAACGTAAGGGTTGATTGAGTTTTGCTTTTCTTAAGCAAGGCGATGGCTAGAAGTCAACGAGTTTAGCTTGAAATCTGGAGCAGTAGAGAGGTGTCAGGAAATACAAACGTGCATAGTTATTCTAAAACTGTGCAACTGAGCACACGTCTGCCAACTGTCAAGACCTTCTGGTGGCTGATTTGCAACACTGAGACACAGTAAAAGAATTGCAAACTTTTAAAACTCCTGACTTCAAAAAATAAAAATAAATAATCAAGTTTCTAATCGCTTACTGAGCCTAATTCAAGGCTCTAGATGAGGCTCCAATTGTCTGCAGGACTCTCTACTCCATTCACCACACCTCAAATTCTCCAGCTTTCAAGAGGGCCTCTTTTGCAGATCCCAGACTAACAACAGGAGCAATTTCTGCTTTTCCCATCAATCAATTCCACTTCACTGTGGAACTGATTGCCTGTTCAGAAAGGGTCTTAAACCTTAAACCTTCTTCATCACCGCATTCTTCATCAATGTGATGATTTTGTTTCTATTTGCTATTCTTTTCCTTGTCACTGTGTTCAAGTTTTATTGTAAGCTGCCCAGAGCCAATGGAACAATGAGTGGGTTGATGAACAGATATTCTGAATGCAATAAATGAATTAAAGGCAGGTCACTTGTATTGATTTAAATCATTTAGTAGCAATCATAAGGAATAGGGCTAACTCTTATTCAAGCCAGTCCTAAATTGTGTAGCTTTATCATTCATCACCAGTACTCTGTATTTCATCTGGAAAACAACCTGGCAGCTAGCATTTCACTTCTTTGCCAATTACACACATACACACACTTGAAGTTCATAATTACTTTACTCCGAAGCAGGAGCCTGCCCTGTTGGCAATCCTCGGGCTGCGTTAAAAATTGAGCACTATTTATATGGGAAATTATTTTCTCGAGTCAAAAAGAAAGCCAAGCTTTTATAGTTATGCATAATCACCAGGAAACTCTCTCTGGGCAGTGGAACATTTTGTAGGAACATCAAGCACTACGGAAGCTGGATAATCTAAGGCCCTAAGATACAATTTCTCCAGGCAATACAGCTGCTTCATATCCCAAAAGCAGAAATATGGGACTATGCATTTGTAGATAGGAGAGTAAGAAATAATGTTCAGAATGTTAACTGCAACGGTGGACTTCAAAAACACACATGTAAAAAAAAAAAAAAGGATGGGGGTACTTTTTGCCACCCTAACATTATTGCAGAAGCCAAGAGGCACTTGTATCATTAACACAATCAGAGTGTTTTGCAACCTATATTTTTCTCCCTAATGGTGCATTTTTAAGAGATCTTGTTATGAGAGCCATCAAGCAGCCTACATCAGCAATCAGCACAGAAAGCTTAACTTTATGTCAAGCTACAAATCTTATTAGATTTAGCTCTAGGTATTCATCCATTGAGTTGAGATTCTGCTAGATCAGCGGTTCTCAACCTGTGGGTCGGGACCCCATTTGGGGTCGAACGACCATTTCATAGGGGTCGCCAAACAATGCAGTCCGCCATTTTTTCCCCCTTTTCCTTAGCTGTGCTACTCCCTTTTATTCTATTGGCTTTCAAAAGCCAATAGGAATTGTCCAGGCTGTCTCTGCCCTGCTGAGCCCGCCAAAAGTCCCATTCTGCAAACAGTGCTGCAAGTTGTCTGCAGTGAGCTGTCTAGAAGTTTCCACCCCTCCCTGCTGAGCAACTACTAAAAATGTAAGTAAAAGAGGGCCAGGAGTGGGAGGTGGGAGGCCGGCGGGCGCAGGGAGGGTTGCTGGCGCGCGTGAGGCCCGGCGGGTGCCTTACCTCCCTTGGGCTGGGCCAGCTGGTGGCCCAGCCGGTGGTCGGTCTGCGCTGTCTCTGCTGCTTGCCAGCTACGCCTCAGCTGATGCAGGGGGCGGCACCACGCATGCGCAGCACTCCCAGGCAGGGAAAGTCCTCGACTTACGACCAGTTGGGTAGTCCTCGACTTATGACCGGTTGGGTAGTCCTCGACTTACGACCGGTTGGGGGTCACGGCATTAAAAAGATTGAGAACCACTGTGCTACATAGCCTTGCCTTCTCCCATCTTTGGACAGGTATTTTTCTCCCGTTTCAAATCCTTGCCTTACGTGGTTTAAAGGGCTGTTTTGCGGAGTCCATCAATCAACCCTAACATGCAGATTAACTAACTTTTAAGTTATCCATACCCTGCAGCCCGTCTGCTCCTCATTTTTTTTCCCCCACTTCACTTTCACCTTGAGTGAGCAAGCCAGCACAAAGGAAGACATTAATCAGAGGGAAGAGGAATCAGCCCCTTCAAAAGAAACAAATTGTGCAATCTAGTTTCCTGTTATGGGCATGATAAGATGCTACAGGCTCTTCCCTTGCCAGAAGCGAGAAAGCGTTAACTGAGGGCGCACACATCCTCACCTATTAAATCGACAAGTAGTTACAATTTGAGGACCGAGCAAAATATGAAAAGACCATGGAGGGGATCAATCACTCAAACGCAGCAGGGAATTTTAAGTCAACCACTTCTTCTGCCTTAGCAACCCAAAAGTTGCTCTAAATGCCATCTGGAGTAATCAGGTTGCTGACCACGTTACCTGTTTTAATATCCAGCAGGTGCTTTTTCTTCTGTTGTTTTTCTCGTTTTTCTTTTTCGGCTTTTTCTTGAGCTATTCTGGCCCGTCTCTGCTTTTCTTCCATTTCTTTCCTTCTCATATTATCCTTTGCTGCTTGCTAGGAAAAAAAAATGTTATCAAATATTAAGATGTTTTTTTTCCCCAGATTTCGTTGACAGAATAATGACATATTTTTACTTGGTTCACACAAACACAGTTGCCTCAAGACTTAAGGAGCATCATCATTGAGGACCAGACCTTCTCAATTGATCTCTGCTTCTTGGAATAGGGCTCCTTCTGACTGGCCCACAACGTATAACTGTTTTGGGAAATGCTAAAAGCCGGCTATGTTCTGTTGTGCAAAATTAGTACACATTTATTCCAACTTCAAATCCTCACTTGGTCATAAAGTCCACAGATCAGGGGTCACCAACCCCTGGTCTGTGAATCAGTACTGGGCCGCAGCATACCAGCAACCGGTCTGCACAAACAAGCAAAGTCCCAGGCAACACACAAAACCACATACCCTCCGGTCCGTGGAAAAACCCCTCCACGGAACTGGTCCCTGGTGCCCAAAAGGTTGTGGACCTCTGTCTTACATGATTTGTTCTCCTGGCCTGTTTTTTGTACTAACTTAGAATGATGATGAGGTGAACAAAACCTCAAATTTAGCTTTGGTTTTCTCTCGTGTTTCTGAAGGGAGAAGGATCTTGGTGTAGCTGCTCAACAATTGAGCAATACGCTGAAGTAACTGGTCAGTCACATTGTCTTCTAGCTTACCCAACTCCCGTAAGTTCCAGAAGACAACAGTGATATACCAGTATTATGTTGCCATCAGGAAAACTACAGAAGCTACATCTGCATAACCTTCAAGAGTTGAGTACAGCTTGAGATGGAGAGAAATCTAATGAATAGCCTGTTAAAAACAAGACAACACACAGAGACGAGGACAAAAGGGAATCTAAATAAAACGTAATTAGATTCACTAGATCAGGGGTAGGCAACCTTGGCTTTTATGACTCGTGGACTTCAACTCCCAGAATTCCTGAGCCAGCCACGCTGAGGGGAAAGGGAGAGGTTTCCAAGCTGAGCCATGCTGGCTCAGGAATTCTGGGAGTTGAAGTCCACAAGTCATAAAAGGGCCAAGTTTAAAGACCCTTCCCAGAATTCCTCAGCCAGGCACGCTGAGGGAAAAGGGAGAGGTTTCCAAGCTGAGCCATGTTGGCTCAGGAACTCTGGGAGATGAAGTCCACGAGTCATAAAAGAGCCAAGGTTGCCTACCTCTGGACTAGATGAACAGGATTACTCACTAAGTACCCAAATGATTAGGATTAAATACTATTTGGGGGCAAAGATGGGAAATAAAAACCAATCAAGGATAATAACGGGACAGGAGGACTTTCACATCTGCTCTCGTTTTGTTATGAGTGCTTTACCAGGAACATTGTTTTGAAGTTGCTCAAGTCGGTAAGGAATTCTTCTACTGAAATTTTCTTTAAATCGATGGCATAATATTCCATGACATCCCGGTACAGGTTTTCCATGCTTTTGTGTATTGTAGAAAGTTGCTTGAACTGTTCTTTTGCTTGGACAAGAAAGCTGTGTTAGGCTTGTTAAGTTATATTCAGAGTAGAGCGGTATTAAAATAAACCAAGACGGAGATTTTCAAAAGCCTTGCTGAGACTATTCAGAAAGTACTAAAATGGGCAGCACGAGAAACAAGAGTGCTGTAACAGATAACCTCTTTTCCTCTCTCTCACACAACAATAGCTTTTCTCTTGTGATAAGACTGGTGTTTAATATCTTTTAGAAAAGGATTTCTCATAGGAAACTAAGGCAATCAGTAATTAAGCATTCCAGCAACTTATTAAGGGCTATCCCTGTATAAAATGATGGAGGAAAATTGTTTTGACACTAAAGTTATCAAATTAACTTTCTGCTTTGTATTCAAGATGGGCAGTGATTAATATTTATGTTATCTATATGTAAGGGTGTAGGTCTATACATATGTTGTATCTAGCATGTTTAAATGTGTGTATGTATGTGTACACTTTGAAAGCAAGCAACTAGATTTTATTTTTTTAATGTGTGCCAATGTGCCCACAGTAAAAAAAAAATGAGTTATTCTATCTATCTATCTATCTATCTATCTATCTATCTATCTATCTATCTATCTGTCTAGCTATCTCTGCCTATCTATTTATCTATCTCTAATCTATCTATATCTATCTCTGTCTATCCACCCCTATCTACCTATCTCTACCCACCTAACTACTTTTATCTACCTACCTACCCATCTACCTCTAACTGCCTACCTATGTCTGTCTATCTATCTAATCTACCTATCTACATCTATATCTATCTATCTATCTATCTATCTATCTATCTATCTATCTATCTATCTATCTATCTATCTATCTAATCTACCTATCTATCTACATCTACATCTATATCTATCTATCTATCTATCTATCTGTCTGTCTGTCTGTCTGTCTGTCTGTCTACCTACCTATTTATGTATCATCTATCTAAAATTCTTTACTACAATGATTCTGGTTATATTTCTACTTATAATCCATACGAACATATTATCTAGTGCAGCAGGAAGGTTTTTTTTATGTACATCATTTTTTATTACAAGCTTTAACCAGTAAAGATTTTTTTTTAAAAAAAGGAGCGTCAAAATAGATAATTGCAAATAAACATTGACTGTACAACAATCCATCACGCATCTTAAATCTTACTAGCGATCCCCTGCCTTGATGCTCGATCTGAAAAGGTTGCGACATTGCTGGTCTGATAAAAAGCCTTATCAGCAAATAGGAAATCATACAGAATGGCTTTGTATAGGGAGTGCTTGCTAGAAAGGAAAGAATAAGATTTTGATGCAGTATGAATCATTTATTCCACATAAACTAGCCCAGAAACATGGGTAAAGAATATGTATTTTCATGCCAACAGCTGTCAGTGTTTGCCAAAGATGTTTCACCAAGGCTTAAAATTCTGGGAATGTTTTTTATAAGCAATTGGGGGGGGGGGAATCTAAGCATGTAAATCAATTCTTTATAAAGTCCCCACTCACATATCTATATACTCATTGCAAGTGCTTAATACTTTTTTCCTGTGCAACATTTTCAAAGAGTTTACGGTGCCAAATCTTGGCATAGAATTTACTAAGTTTATTATTGCATAGAACACTTTTGTTGTTGTTGTTCTATTACAGCATTGTAGGCTTTCTTGTCTCTACAAAATGGCATTAAAATAAAAATGGTTTAAGATTGTTTGGCTTTATTTTTATAGTTCAGCCCCCAGGCTCCCAACATTTTTACAAATTCTAGATGAAATATCATGCTAAGAAATCAAGGAAAGGTCTAGCTGTTAATGAGGCAACGTTTCTAAAATTTCACTAAATATAAATCTTCATTTCTGAGATCATTTATTACAGCAAGTCTTGCTAGCAATTTTTTACACTTGTATTGCACCAATCTCTCCCCTTACATACAGCCACCATCAGCTTCAAATGGGGGAAGTGGGTGTCAAAATATTTACAGTTAACTTTGGAGATAAGCCTGAAGATTAATCCTTGCTAGTAATTAATCAGGGTCTAGTTAGTTAAAACATAGCTTCTCTCCTCTCCCCATTTTTCTGTAGAAGAGAGATTTCATTTCTTCCACTCTTTTTTCCCTTTTCCTCTGTTATTAGGCAGAAGGGAGGAGAATTCATGTGAACATATTCATGTGTTTCTAAATATGGTTTATGTTTCCAGGAAAGGGTGGTTAAGAATGTGCAATAAATCCGAGGAAAAAGGAAGTGAAATATAACAGACAATGTACCATTCTGGTCATAAAATCAATATTCAATTAAAAATGGATTTGCTATATTTAAAACGCCCTTCAAAATACGAAACAAGACCAAAGAAAAGATAATGAGGAGCATTAAAGTATTACATCCTATTTTTTTTTTTTGGCTGTAAATTACTTTGTAAATTATACCTGCATGTTTAAGGGTAAGTTTGTAAATGCTTTTCAAATACTTACTCCTTGTTTAACTTAGTGTTTAAATCTAGCATTAAATAGCAAAAGAGGTACATAAGACTGAGGGCCCTTTTGATTTTTGCCACCCAAACGTGACAATACTTTTATTACCCATATATGATAAGGCGATATTTGAGGGGCTGTCATAGAGAAGACGAGGGGGTCAACCTAGTCGCTAAAGCACCTGAAGGCAAAACAAGAAGAAATGGATAGAAACTAACCAAGGAGAAGAGTAACCTAAAACAATTAACCAGTGGAACGACTTGCCTCCAGAAGTTGTGGGCGCTCCATCCCTGGAAGTTTTTAATATATCGGACAGCCATTTGTCTGAAATGGTATTGGATCTCCTGCTTGAGCAGGGGGTTGGACTAGATGACCCCCAAGGTCCCTTCCAACTCTGTTATTCTGTTATACTTTCATGTAATTCAGATTTCCTTCTCCATCATGTTTGCATGGAACTAATGGTTGACTTCTCCAACATGTCCATCTAGAGCAGAGGTCCCCATCTAGAAAAGTGGTCCCTCTTGGCTGCCAGACCGTGTGAGTAGCTGGGCAGTGCCCATGAGCATGCTCACTCCCCCTCATGCCAACATTGCTGCAAGTGTTGCACGGGCAACGGCAGCGCCACTAGTATTGCGCTAATGGCGGCAGAACCGCAAGTGACAGGTGGCCCGCGGGAGTGGTCCTTGCGCGGGGCGGTGGCACGAGCCTCGCACCGAAGGCGGCACTGCTGCAGGCCGTGGCGCAAGCCTTGTGTGGGATCGGCGGTACGAGCCTTGCGCCGGGAGTGGCACTGCGCGACCCTCACTGCGAGCCTGGAGGTGGCAGCACAAGCCTCACATAGGCACCGCCGTCGCTGAGAGCTTCGCGCGCATGCTCGCTGCCCCATTTGCATAGTGCACCTGCCCGCAGCCTGTTTGTATGCACATGCGCACGTGTGGCCACATTCACATTTGTGCCTGCCCGCATAAGGCACCCGCCCCTCCCTCTCCCACCGGGCCGCCAAAACAAAACGGTTGGAGACCCCTGATCTAGGGCAAACCAAATGCCAGAAAAAAGCAGAGCTGTAAATAGACAGTTCTGCAAAACCCTGAAACACCAGCAGCAGAAAGAACTCAAAAGCTGTTTGCTACCTCCATGGGACTTGCAAATCTAGAGGTACAGTAAACACAATAGTTTGTGATTGTAAGATCTCAAGTGAGTTAGCTACAGAATAAAAGCTTAGGTTATGTGAAAAGCATTCCCACATTTTAAGAAGCATTACCTTGCCTTTTTAACGTTTCTGATGGTTTTTTTTTTTTACTGAGCAGTTCGTAAAACTGAACTATTCTATTTTCCAACCATAACAATAGTAGCTAGACAGCTTCAAGCTATATAGCAGGGGTCCCCAACCTGTGGGCTGTGGCCCGGAAGCGGGCTGTGGCCTACTGGCCACCAGGCCGCAGGGCAGGCTGGCCAGTGTGCGCGCGAGTGCGTGCACATGTCCTCACTTGTGCTAGCGCTGCAGCCGCAGGGTGTAAAAACGGGCCGCCGCTGCACTGCAAGGTGCAAAAATGGCAGCTGCCGCACCACGGGCACAGAAACAAGGCGCTGCTGCGCCACACAAGAACAGAGCAGGGTTAGTGAGTGTCACGCGGGCATGAGCCCCGCCCCATTTGCGGCACGCGCATGCTTGCAACCCCTTGTGCACATGCACACACACGTATAAAATGCTTCCCCCTTTTCCTCCAGTCCGCCAACCGCAAAGCTAGGTGACCGATGCTATATAGGATCATCTAACATTTGCATCAAATGCCCGATTTTTCCTCTACACATTTTTTTTTAATTAGCAAGCACGTAGTCATTACCAGGAACGAATGTAATTCCACTGTTCCCCAATTATTCTCTGTCTACAGGGAATGTTAACAGGAGGCTATTACGTTTTTAACAGTGTTTAAAGATCAAACCATCTGTTTAAGCGTCGCGGGTGGATTTAAGCTTAGACTGCTTATGTATTTTTGTGACATTTCCAACCACGTTTTGTTTTATAAGCTTACAATGTACGCCTGGCTCTGTTGTTACACTGGCATCTCACATTAAGAAATATTTCGTCGTCTTTCCTCTTGGAACAAAGTACGATCAACAGCTTGCAATATTACCAGTTCTCCAATGTGGGAATTGCCCGTCGTATAGAACTATTTAAAAGGAAACCGAGAATATTCATCATTCTATTCCATTGAGTTAGAGACTAATTTGCACTTTAAACTCATAACCTCTGCAAATTAGAAAGGGAAAAATCATTAAGCCTTGTTGACTGCTGGGGAAAAAAAAAAGGATGTTCAGTGTAGCGCTTTTAGGCAAAATTGTTTTAAAATGTGATCAGGGAAACATATTCTGGTGCCATAATTTTCTAAACACAATCAATATAATTGGAAAATTGTGCATGATTTCGGAGGAAGGAAGGAAGGGAGGGTGGAAAAAAAAAGGGTAATTTCTTTTTATACAATTGCATTAAACAATTGTAATAAACACAGCTCATAGAGGCCAGAAGGAGCGTCTTACCCTACATCCTTTTTGTAAATGCAACCTCAGTTTTACTAGTCACAGATCAATAGTAACGAGATGGTCATATTAAAGGTTTTGAAGATCTTTAGATCGTTAGCATAATTATTTTGTTACTTACTAAACATGACTGAAAAACTGGCACTTAGTAGCCAGACAAAGGATATCTGGTAGCCTTCCACAGATTTACTAACCTACATGTGGACCAACAAAAACATGACACTTTATCTGCTTTACTTGTGTCAATTCAGATTTTTCCTTCCACATAGAGGGCACAAAGGACTTCCTTTATAAGTAAGAACTAAAAAAAAACACCCATATTATTATTAATAATAATAGTTGTTATATGTCAAAGAAAAATAAAATTAAATAAATATACTTGGACGAAAAGGGGTGAATTTTAATGCTGGAAATAGTATTAGAGTAAAAACAGTATATGCACTAAAATAATATGAGAATATTGGTATGATTACATGCTTAGATGGAATTCTGGTCGAGTCTTATAAAAAATATGAGTGTTACTACAATGAATAATGTTGGATTCCTAGTAAGTAGTAGAATATGAAAGAAGGAAAATGTAAATAAGAAACAATGGGGCAATAAGGACAAATATTTCAAAGAAGAAAGAGGGGGGAAGTGTAAAGAATAGAAGAGTACTGCTACAAACTGCTGTTAACAAAAGAGGATATATTACGTGTGAATGTGTGTAATGTTTGTTTTGTTTTGTTAGTCTAAAATAATAAAATACAAAAAAAAGGAACCTAGCAGAAGAACTATTAGAATAAAGTAGGATAGTTTATATCAGGGGTAGGCAACCTTGGCCCTTTTATGACTCGTGGACTTCAACTCCCAGAATTCCTGAGCCAGCATGGGGGAACTATGGCCCCTTCATGACTCATGGACTTCAACTCCCAGAATCCCTGAACCAGCATGGGGGAAACTTTGGCCCCTTCATGACTTGCGGACTTCAACTCCCAGAATCCCTCAGCCAGCATGGCTCAGCTTGGAAACCTCTCCCTTTCTCCTCAGCATGGCTGGCTCAGGAATTCTGGGAGTTGAAGTCCACGAGTCATAAAAGAGCCAAGGTTGCCTACCCCTGGTCTATATCAAGCAATACATTAATTTAAATACTCTTCAAAAGCTTAGGGAAATTAATCAGGTGTTATTTGTATAAAATACTAACCAAGCTTAGCTTAAGGAGAATTCAGAATGGGCAAACTGAACGAGTATCCCTCAATGGAAAGTTTGAGCTCCATTCAAATACAACCACTATCCAACACTCACCAGATGGCAGAAAAAATGTTGTGGGATTTAGCTTCTTTGTCATTTAAACAATCAAAAACTAGTGTCGTCAAAAATGAGGACTATATGTGGAATAACAGTTAGGCAGATAAATTTAAAATATGTTTTTGAAAACAAAGTGTAGGCGTTATTTAACAACAACAAAAGGATATGGACATTTTTGTCACAAATTTGTCGTGGACATCTTCGGGTTGAGGAAAGGTCTTCAAATCACTCTCAAGTTGTTTGATCTGTCCTTCCATTTGTTTTAGGCTCTTTTCCAAGCTCTCCGCTGAAACTAAATCCACAAACATGCATCTTTAATGATTAATAATTTTTAAAGGATAGGATACACAGCCTACTACAGTTTCATAGCATAAAAAAAAACTTACTTTAGCCAAAATAAGATAATGCATGCATTTCCTATTTCAAGAAATGAAAACCTTTTTCATGGCCAATATAGGATTCTAAACATGCCTCGTGGAAATCAAAGATGGCTTTAAATATTCAAAGATAATAAGAATTATATCCATGGAACTTATTCTAAAGGGAAGAATGAGATGTTGTGTCTAAAATGTTCTCTATAACCTGCAAATATATTATTATTTCCGGGATTTAAATATAACCTATGACATACATTTGGCTATTGCTCCTGACTTCATGTACCTAATAATCTGATCCTTCAGTCACTGAACTATGTCAGATCTTACAGCTGACCTGTTAGTTCCAGTAAATTTTCTCCCAAATTGTTATAAAACTGTTGTGTCTGATCAATGTTCCCAAATGTCTAATTCCTTGAGCATTAACAGATCAGAACATCACTTTTCCTTATCAGAATATTGCTTATATCCTAAGGCACGGGTCTTTACATTTGGCCCTTTTATGACTTGTGGACTTCAACTCCCAGAATTCCTCAGCCAGCATGCCTGGTTGAGGAATTCTGGGAGTTGAAGTCCACAGGTCATAAAAGGGCCAAGTTTGAAGACCCCTGTCCTAAGGTATCCTATAGCACTGATATCTCTTTCAAAGGGATCTACTCATGAGACCAAATGTCCATGAGATGCCTGCAATTGTAAATAGTGTAGGAATGGTCAATTAAAAAAAACCAACAGAATGAATATGGAAAACTTCTAACATAGCTATGGATGCCAGAATATTCTCTTCCAACATATAATACACTATTACATATTTCGCCATCTCCATTTTTTTAAGGAATTAATCTCCAATTTTATTCACACCAGGATACATGCAAACAACAAAGAGGCCCGCATAGTATTTCAGACTGGGCACTAATGACCATGGGGACATCTAGGCTTGTTTGACTGCTTTGATTTGTCACACATTGTTTCTTCTACTTACAGGCTTGATCGTTCACCTACTTTCTTTCTGAATGAAAAGCTAAGACAGAAAAACTTCAAGAGCAGACAACAGCATAAAAACAATGTGTCTGTAAAGACTTTCTCGGATACAACACAGGAAGAGTAGAAATGCAAGATTTTTTTAAAAAAAAAGACATGAAGACATGACGCTAGGTGAAACCAGATTTAATTTCCTACAACTTTGCAATTATTAGCCTTTTATTTGAAAGGCATGCATGGAAGCCATGAAAAATATTTTAATTCCCCAGTTTGCTGCTTTTTGTATGGTAACACTCTTGTACTCTGGACGGTGTGATCTGAAACATAATCACTTTCCCCCTCCATATTCTCTGCTAATTTAAGATAAGGGAAAGTCATCTTGAAAGAAATAGAAATAACTGTGAATGGAAATTCATAACTGCAGGCAGAGGTTAATGCCTGCTACAAATTTAAAATTCTCCCGTTCAGAAATTATTCATTGCGGTCAGAGTTTAACAAAACAAAACATAAATATCAGTTTTAATACAGACCTCTGCTTGCTTTGTCTAAGTGCTGCAAGTCTTCAAGAAAGCTCAAAACATTAGGGTATTTTTCTTCACAGATTTCAACCAGAAAGTGAAGCAGTGTTGTCGTCTGATCAGCTGATTTGGTATCCTTTAACTAGGCAACAATCAATACATTGGTAAAAGAATTAATATAGTTCCGTTTCATCTTATTACACATTCATTTTTCACTCTCTAACTTGGCATTAGATTTAATTAGACTCACAAGTTAAACAGAACAGAACAGAACAGAAGAGAAAATATGGAAGAGAAGAGAACAGAAAATATGGAAGAAAAGAGAAGAGAGTAGAACAGAAAATATGGAATATATATAATAGAATAGAAAATATGGAATAGAACAGAAAATATGGAATAGAATAGAAAATATGGAATAGAATAGAATAGAATAGAATAGAATAGAATAGAAGCTGGAAGGGATCATGGAGGTCTTCTAGTCCAGCCCTCTGCTCAAGCAGGAGACCCTATACCATTTCAGACAAGTGACTGTCTATGACTTGGGATGTAGAAGCGTCATAGAATGGAGACTACCTAATAACCTATAAGTGTCTTTCAGTTCTACAAGGAAAGAAAAAATGCTGCTCTTTAGAAGGCCAGATCTTGAAGTTGAAACTCAAGTACTTTGGCCACTTAATGAGAAGGACTCACTGGAGAAGGGCCTAATGCTGGGAAAGATTGAGGACAATAGAAGAAGGGGACGACAGAAAATGAGGTGGATGGATGGAGTCACTGAAGCAGTAGGCATGAGCTTAAATGGACTCCAGAAGATGGTAGAGGACAGGAAGGCCTGGAGGAATGTTGTCCATGGGGTCGCGATGGGTCGGACAAGACTTTGCAACTAACAACAACAAGAAAGCACAACATGCACACATATATACACATTGTGGATGCTACTGTATCCAGTATGAATACCAATCCATAATCTATGAAGATAAAGTTCAGGCGAATATATTTCAAATTTCCTCCAAAATACTTTGAGCTTGAGAAACCTGAAGCCTTCAGACAGTGGTTATTTTCTCAATTGTAACCTTAATAATGATTTGGATTCTGAAGTGTTACTGATTTACAGCTGACAATATGTGCGCACAGATCACATACTGTATGTGCCCATCATGCTACTGTCATTTGCAGTACATGTTGTGCAAGCACAGAAAGAGTACATCGGATAAATTAAATGTACAAAGAGAAAGTGAAATATATTTAAATGCAGGCATCAGATCAATACCTACCTTACAACAATCCGTTGTTTTCTATCACCTGAAGCCATTCTTGCTTCCAATACACCAGCTCACCCATTATTTTTTTTCTTCTTTTAGCTTCTCACCTCTCCGCTTTGAAGGATCTTACCAACTCGTTGTTTACTGCTTTCTCCCTTTTCCTCTTTTTCCATTTGCTCTTCCTTAATAGGTTGTCTTGTGATTTGATCCTAATTCAATCTCCCTACATAATCAAAGCCACCTCATTCTATTTTTATACATTCACTTTTGCATTCAATCCGCATTCATTCTTGACCCTACCTGTTCTTATTTATCATACACACTTCTGTAATAGCCCGTCTGCTCTGCGTACAATTAAGGTTGGTTTCTTCCGACATATCAAATTCTACAAAGTGGGCAGAAGTGCATTTTTATATACCGTTGTTTTCAGGGGGGATTTTGTGACAGTCCTGCCCTTACAAGTAATCATATGGACCAGCATTTCCACTTTTCAAAACTTCTCCATTTCCCCAGCCTTAAATGCTCTCAGATGTCCCCATTCCGTGCATTTGCTCTAGATAGGGGCAGCGATTTTTTTTCTTTAATTGAGAAAACGAGCTTTTTCTAAAAACTGCATTCATTCTCTCTGCTTCACTGGATGAGAAGCATAAAAATTAATTGATTTCATGTGCAAATTGTGTTGCGGTTGGTAGACAGAACAGATATTGAGCCGAGGTGGCGCAGCAGTTAGAGTGCAGTACTGCAGGCCACTTTAGCCGGCTGTGTTCAGCAGGTCAGCGGTTCAAATCTCACCGGCTCAAGGTTGACTCAGCCTTCCATCCTTCCGGGGTAGGTAAAATGAGGACCCGGATTGTTGGGGGCAATGTAAATATATATATATATATATATATATACATTGCTTACTGGTGTACACCGCTTAGAGAGTGCTTGCACTTAAAGCGGTATATAAGCCTCATAAATAAATAAATAAATATTTACTATTTTATGGGTAGGGGGAGGAAAGAATCTTGGCAAATTTACATATTTATAATTATTCCATTGGCAAGGGGGGAAAATGGTAATCAGCAGCAGCAATACGTCAAAGGCTTGACTAAAGCACCAGATTCCACTCGTACAGGCTGTTGAAATACTCACTTTACATAAGGAGCAGAGGTTGAATCCAAATGTCTGGGCATTTCGCGATCCAGCGTTCATGTAGTTCCCCATTAACAGGACGAGTTCGAGAAGCTGGCTGAAGCCCCTGCTCTGCTTTATCTCTTCACAGGCTGTGCTGACAGCCATGATTTCAGGCTTGGTGTTATTCACTTGCTCCTCAAACTGAAGCTTAAAAAGAATAGCACCCAACCGTGGCCTCAGTCGCGTTACGCTGCTCATCTGGTTGAAAAGAGGAGAAGAATACCTGTGTCACCCCTGACAATTTTGTACAGTCGTGATACATACAAGGATTCCTGATAGATCCAGAGACTGGATAAATCAAGAACGGTCATGCGAATGTTGTGACGATCTCTCTTTTACTTCAAGGTAACTACAGAATACAGAATAACAGGGTCAAAGAGGCCATCTAGGTCACAACTGAACAGTCCTCTCTCAACAGAGGGGGAGGGATACGACATCATCGATCTTCAGTCTACAACACTGTCCTTTCAGAAGTTCCAAGAAGGCTCCACACCCATTTGCACCACTCAGGTGACCCTGAGGACAGATAAACCTCCAAGTGGCCTCAACGATTCTCTAAAACAATGCAAATGACCAGCTGTCTGCAAGGAGTATAAATCCTTCCATTTCACCACCCCCCCATCCAGTCAGAGCTGAAGAAGGAGGAGAAGCAAAACGTCTTCAAAGTAAAACAAGAGAGTCCAGTTGCCTCCTGAAAAAAGCATCTTTGGGGTAACTATGACCTGGATGACTGAGAGTCTCCACGATAGAATAACAGAGTTGGAAGGGACCTTATAGGTCAGGGGTGTCAAACTGGCGGCTCGCAGGCCGGACGCGTCATCCCAAAACCGCGCCCACCCCATTGCCGACAACGGAGAAAAAGCTCCGTGACGTCGCGAGTTTGACATGCCTGTTGTAGGTCATCTAGTCCATTCCGGTGGGCCCTGCTGACTTGGCGTCATTTCCTCGAGGGAGGGGGGCAAGGTGCCTTTTGAAGTATGGATTGATCATAAAAGTTTAGAGGCATTGAAAACCCCCTGTAAGTTGTCTCCCAAACAAATTCGTTGGGCGCAGTATTTTAACAGTTTCAATTTTACTTTCAAATATTTCCCAGAGGGAAAAAATTTCTTGGCTGACGCCCTGTCCAGAATGCCCCAGTATAAAAGTCGCTGTGAGGAGATTGTGAACTCCATCATTCCACCACCACAGTAAATCTCTCGGATAACTCCTGGAGGCCAGGTGCAGGCGAAACCGTCTGAACCGGATAGCCCGTTGACAAAAAAAAAAAAAACTTAGGAATTAAAAAAATGATTCCTGGCTCCGGGAAAATTTAACCCAGTGGTTCTCAACCTGTGGGTCGGGACCCCATTTGAGGTCGAACGACCATTTCACAGGGATCGCCAAACAACACAGTCCGCCATTTTTTCCCCCTTTTCCTTAGCTGTGCTACTCCCTTTTATTCTATTGGCTTTTGAAAGCCAATAGAATAGACTCTCTTGAATAGAGTCTAATTCTATTGGCTTTCAAAAGCCAATATGAATTGTCCAGGCTGTCTCTGCCCTGCTGAGCCCGCCAAAAGCCCCATTCTGCAAACGGTGCCGCACCAGTTGAGTAGTCCTCAACTTACGACCGGTTGAGTAGTCCTCGACTTATGACCGGTTGGGGGGTTGCGGCATTAAAAAGGTTGAGAACCACTGATATATACCATCTTCAAGGAGCACCAAAACGGATTGTTTCGGATAGAGAAGTCCAATTTACTGCAAAGTTTTGGAGGGACTTCCTTAAGCCGATCAGAGTCACACAAGGACTACCGTCAGCTTTTCATCCAAATACAAATGGAGCAGCCGAGAAAGCGAACTCAATGGTGGAACAATACATTAGTTGCTATGATGATTGCCAATGATCTATGGCCCCTGACAGAAAGCTTATTAGCCATTATTTCAAACTTATTAGGTTTACAGGCTTACTTTTATAGATTATAGATTTTACTCTCACAGGAGTTTTATAGTAAACACATTTTATGTGCACGCATATATTCATCAGATATTAAACCTCCCCTAGATATCTTATAGTAAGTTAGTTTTATGTTACAATCATCTAACATGGCCGTTGTAGGCTTTTTCCATGTTGCGGAAACATTTTGTACTCTTGAGATTTAACTTTTATTGGGCTGCACTTTATGTTGGACTAAGAGAGCAAAATAAAATGAAGTGATCGATAGATCAATCTAACAGATGCTGGTTTGCCAAATGTTTATCGGGGCGTCATAGTTGCTACAGCATTGGTGTTTTGCAAGCAGCAAGGAGAACAGCCAAGAGGTGGCTGTGCAGAATTGTGTCAGTTTCAGTTCATTTGCACCAACTTGGCCAAAGACACACCTTGCTCAGTTATTCAGAAACAGGGGTCTTCTGTGTGTTTTCTTAGATGTCACGAAGCCACTTACGAGCACGGTGGCTCAAGTGGTTGCAATGCTGGGCGGGAGGTTAGCAAGCCCATGTTTGAGACCCGAAAGCCGTTGTGGAGCAGGATTGAGTCCCCGTCCTTCACTCCAGCTGCTTCCGGGGGACATGAAAGGAGCTGGCAACTGGACATCCGCCGAGGAAATGGTGAGGCCACCAGCTAATCCTTTCAACCCGGAAGCACTTCATTGCTTCTGACACAAGTGCAATGAAGCCTCTTTTCAAGTGCTTTGGACAGCACACGGGATTAATATAATTATGAGACGTTTACTGCCACGCAGGTCACAGTGTGTTATAGAAGACTTATTCTCTTGTAATTATTTTAAAAACATGGCGAGGCTGCCTCGTCCTTTTTTTTTTTTTGTCTCACACTTATAATTAGAAATTGAAAAGCAAGCAGGTTAGCACAGCAGCAGAAATAACAGAGGCGGAAATTCAAAAATATCAGAACAGTCTCACTCACTGTCTCGGTGACAAGAGCAAAGCCTTAAAAATTCTCCTGTCAGAAAATGACTTGAAGAAGTTGGTTAAAAGTCATATCAGAAACTTAATACCACGGAAGATTAACTCATCCCTGACTACCAGCTACCCAAAAGAAGCAAACAGAATACCGTGCAAAACTCACAGAAAAGGACTGTTTTTTTTTTTAAAAAAAGAATACAGAATCTTAAAACCGTATTTTGAAATGAATCAATCTATTTACCACGATAGCGAACTGCTCCGGGTCAGACAAATTCTTATATTCGTTCTTCAACTTGGATAATTCATTGAGTTGTTTTTGGTCAGGAAGATGTTTTATTAAATTCTACATTCCATGGAAAAGATACAAAATGAAAATGTCCATTGGTTTTTTTTAATCCCCTTTATATTGCATGATTACTCATACAAAAAAGAAGGTACACGGTAAAGAAACAGTATTTATTATTGAAAAATTAAGGACCCCTTAAAAATGCTAAGAGATAAATGTCAAATGCAGTAGGCTATTTATTCCATTTTAAACTGTCCAACTGTCCTATCAAGAGAATTCTGCTGATACACATAGTATAAACGAAACAGTTATCAAACATTAAAAGGTCCATTATCTTAACAAAAATGGTATAAGTATAACAAATACAGAAGGTATAATCTGCCATCTTTGGTGGCAATACCAAATTGTACTGACATACTGTATAAATACAAAAGTATGGTTGGTTGTGCACGTTACTTTGTCCATGACTTTCCTATATTTTACTACAAATGTGGTAGATTTTATGAAGATCTAGTTATTAGGAATACTTGTCTATAAAACTGTTAATCAAATTACTGCACACCTGGATCATGGATTCTGACAGCTGGGTTTCATCTATTTCCAGAATCATTATTTTTATTTCTTCGTAAGGCACTCGAAACGACCCTAAGAAAATAGCTAAACACAACACAAACACACATAAAGACATTTCAGTATGTTTTTATTAAGCACTTTTAAACACTTCAAGCACTGAAGTGTTTTCAGAGACAGCTTTTTTGAAGGTGGAGGAGGACCAACTTGATTGATGCGTTTTCCTGTGTGAGAACCAAGTCTCACATCTGCTTTGAGAGACAAGGAAGGTCTGGAAAAACAGGATGAGGAAAGAAATATGCAGGTGAGTTAAGAAGAAAGCAGGCTGTGGCTTCCAAACAGGAAGGAAGGAAGGAAGGAAGGAAGGAAGGAGGGAGGGAGGGAGGGAGGGAGGGAGGGAGGGAGGGAGGGAGGGAGGAAGGAAGGAAGGAAGGAAGGAAGGAAGGAAGGAAGGAAGGAAGGAAGGAAGGAAGGAGAAATAGAGAGAAGGGAGGGAGAGAAGGAAAGTCGGAAGGATGGTAGGTACAGAGAGGGTGGGAGGGAAGGAAAGAAGGAAAGAAGGAGAAAGAGAGAAAAGGGAGGGAGAGAAGGAAAGAAGGAAGGGAGGGAGGGAGGGAGGAAAGAAGGAGAAAGAGAAGGGAGGGAGAGAAGGAAAGTCGGTAGCTACAGAGAGGGAGGGAGGGAAGGAAAGAAGGAAGGAAAGAAGGAGAAAGAGAGAGAAGGGAAGGAGAGAAGGAAAGTCGGAAGGCTGGTAGGTACAGAGAGAAAAGGAGGAAGGGAGGGAGGGAGGGAGGGAGGGAAGGAAGGAAGGAAGGAAGGAAGGAAGGAAGGAAGGAAGGAAGGAAGGAAGGAAGGAAAGAAGGAGAAAGAGAGAAGGGAGGGAGAGAAGGAAAGTCGGAAGGCTGGTAGGTACAGAGGGAGGGAGGGAGGGAGGGAGGGAAGGAAGGAAAGAAGGAAGGGAGGGAGGGAGGAATGGAGGGAATAGGACATCAACAGTAATAGTAGGAGTGACAGAATACTCATAGCAACTAAGCTACAATATACCAGTGCTATCAAAGCAAACCACATTAAGATAATTGGGGAAGGAAACTAAAAGCTATTGTCCCTGTCCAGAAACATAATAAAATCTGCCCTTAACAGGCTTGGATGTGATCTTTATTTGAAATGGGGTAGAAGAGTGGCCTATTCATTTTTAGTGGCCTTTACGTCATAATTACTAATCTTTTTTACTATGGATTTATTCCGCACCCACCTCCAGAGAGGAGTCTCTGATCGTAAATAAATGCAATTAGGTAAAGACTCCACATAGGAGTAATACGTTATCAGAACCAAACTGAGGAGGGGAAAAAAAAAAGAATGAAAGGACATGAGATGAAAACAGGGGTGATAAGGAAAAGAAAAAATAAAAGAACATGCACCGAAGAAAAAAGCGGGAGTGCCGAAAGATACAGACTAAAAGAAAACTCCAATTTTAACAAAAGAACAGAGTTGAAAGGGACCTTGGAGGTCTTCTAGTCCAACCCCCTGCTCAAGCTTGAGACTCTATACCAGGGGTAGGCAGCCTTGGCTCTTTTATGACTCGTGGACTTCAACTCCCAGAGTTCCTGAGCCAACATGGCTCAGCTTGGAAACCTCTCCCTTTCCCCTCAGCATGGCTGGCTCAGGAATTCTGGGAGTTGAAGTCCACGAGTCATAAAAGAGCCAAGGTTCCCCACCCCTGCTCTATACCATTCGGGACAAATGGCTGCCCAGTCTCTTCTTGAAAACCTCCAGCGATGGAGCACCCACAACTTTAAAACCAAAAGCTTCAATTAGCTTTATTTAAAAACGAATACTAAACATACAGGAGTTATTTTCCAACTTGTCTGCCTTCGTTTTCATCCCTTCCCCATTTACCCGTTGCTGGGAGTTGTTTCCGTCAAAGCCATATTACAAAGAAGAATCAAATTGAACTCCAAAAGTAATATTAAACTCCATTTTTTTTTTCCAAATAATGACAGCGATTTACTTACAAAGGTTTTGCGCGATCTTTGGATCCAGGACTTTCAGTTCTTTGATTCGTTTAATAGGTTTCCTCTCGTCAAAGCCTTCGTCTCTTTTCACTGTCACGACAAATGTTGTGTGTGTGTGTGTTAAACATACAGAAATGTTCATATTAGTGCCCTTGCATAGAATTTAAGCTTCAGTGTAGTTTCAACCTGAGGACTGAAGTTGTATAATTCATTGTGTTCAGGTTTTACCCATTGCTGATGAGAGGGTGTTACAGGTTATCCTGAATCAACTCAGGATAATGGTGAGGAGTCTTAGGGAATATGAGATTTGCCAATCATGAATGAAAACTCCAACACAACCTATAGTAGTGGCCAAAAATTGTGGAAACCTTTTGGGAAAAGTGTACAGTAGAAATGCCACCTTTGGTTACATAAAATCAGGTCTGGTCACATGGTGACCTACTGTACAATCCTATGAGCGTAGGACTGTAATTGTGGGCTTGTGTGCAGTCATAACCTGAGGACGACTTATACAACACTGTCAAACTACCTAGTAAGGCTATATGACTATTCTTCTTCTCATCTTTCCTATTACCTATCTCCTTATCTTCTTATGAGTATAACTTTGTTGCTTGTGTCTTACGATTTATATTAATTGTTTTATTTGGTGCCCTAGTATGATTTATGTTGATTGCTTATTTAGCATCCGATGACCATCACTAAGTGTCGTGTCTTTTGATTTATGATGAATGCAATTTTAGGATGATTACGATCACGATTTATCACTTGTTGCTTGTATGTACACTGAGAGCTTATCCACCCGAGACAAATTCCTTATGTGTCCAGTCACACTTGGCCTATTCTATTCTATTCTATTCTATTCTATTCTATTCTATTCTATTCTATTCCATTCCATTCCATTCCATTCCATTCCATTCCATTTTAATTCTATTTCCTTCCATTCTAATTCTATTCTATTCCATTCCATTCCATTCTAATTCTTTCTATTCCATTCCATTTTATTTCCTTCCATTCTAATTCTATTCTATTCTATTCCATTTTATTCCCTTCCATTCTAATTCCATTCCTATTCTATTCTATTCTATTCTATTCTGTTCTATTCTATTCTATTCTGTTCTATTCTATTCTATTCTATTCTATTCCATTTTATTCCCTTCCATTCTAATTCTATTCTATTCTATTCTATTCCATTCCATTCCATTCCATTCCATTCCATTCCATTTATTTGCACCAAGCTAATATTTCAGTGGGCACTTTCTACTTACACAGGAAGTAAATACATTGAGTAGTCTCGGCCCCTGAACGTCATTTTCAAAGACAAAATAGTAAATAGAATTCCCTTTTTGCATTTTCTGTGCTGCTGTTCTTAGAATATTTTCAGTTTGAATGTACCTTAAAGTAACTTCCTTTGGTCATCACTCCTTCTAGGTATATTACATGGCAAGAATTATTTTTTCAAAAGGGCTTAGCGTACCTTGAAAAGAACTAGCCCCAAACAATCGGCCTCCCAACAAATGATGGCTCATAACTAAAATACATGGTATATTTTCTCAGCTTTTAGTCACACTTCCCATAGTCTATAACAGAGTAAACAGTAATTTTAACAGCTCAGTGGACACATTTCGGCAGTTAAGTGCATGCTTTTCTTAACTGCATTATACAAGGGGAGCTTAAATGGAAAAGTGAAATAATACTATGGGCTAAGTTCTATTCTGTGTGTGCTGCAGTTATAAATGATTGTAACCTCAGTTATTAATGTAACAATTATCATATGACACACATAAGCATTCATCAGCTGCGGTGGCAAGAGCTGCAGGTGTTTATTGAAAATAAAATAGGCTCATTTTCTAAAAGGAGGCTTTAAATCAGAAAAAAAAAATAATTAACTTACCGTTTTTCTGACAACAAAAGGTAAGTTCCAGCTTGCATAACAAATCGGTACTTTCGTATTTTCCATCATTGGCCATTACCCAGAAACAGTTTTCAGTCATTTCCTGGGGGCTTATCTGCAAAGGAAATAGAGCATCTTAATTTCCTGTTATCGTGAATGCCACACTTCGTTAGGATTGCAAAACACGTGGTTGATGGCAATGGGAAGGCCACCCGCCAACTGTAGCCTGCAGATTCCTGAGTGGAAAAACTGGTCTCCTTTTGAAGGGTGTGGGTAGGTTTATAGGATAAAATCTGTGTTTGTAACTCCTTCAGAGCCTTTAAAATATCGGATGCCCATCAAAATGATAATAATAATCAGGTTTACTTTTCACGCTAATTCCACTGCCGTTTGAAGTGGGGCTTTCAACTGATTGTGGCTCAGAAGAAGTCAGAAATATTTCTATATTTACCACCTGACTTCCGATAACTCTGGGCAGTTTACCAACTGTTTTGAAAAAGCATTAAAACAAGGTCAGTACTTCTGACCTAGTTCCAAATCAGGAGTGAACAGAAATAGGATATTGCTCAATCGATGAACCTTACTGATTGGAACAAAGGTCACCAACTTTTGTCGGTTGGCAGACCGGAGGAAAAGGGAGGGGGAAGCATTCTACTTGCGTGCATGGGCGTGTGCGTGGGGCCGCGAGTACACGCGCACCACAAACGGGGTGGGGCTAGCGCCCGTGTGATGCTCACTAGCCCTACCCTGTTCTTCCGTAGCGCAGTGCCTTGTTTCTGCGCCCGCGGCGCTACGGCGGCGTTTTTGTGCCCCATGGCGCGGCGGTGCCTGGCTTTTGCGCCCCGTGGTGCTAGCACAATTGAGGGGGTGTCCCATGGCCCGGTGGCCGGCAAGCCACAGCCCACTACTGGGCGTGGCCTACAGGTTGGGGACCCCTGGATTAGAACACAGTCCAGGGCCAGAATAAAACATATTAGAGATGTTAAGATTATTGAAGATATGTAGACCATAGTAGCGTTGGCATCCTCTTCCTTAAAGAGATCCTTTTAAGGTTATACTAATGATAAATCAGGTTTACTTTTCACGCTAATTCCACTGCCGTTTGAAGTGGGGCTTTCAACTGATTGTGGCTCAGAAGAAGTCAGAAATATTTCTATATTTACCACCTGACTTCCGATAACTCTGAACAGGAAGAAATATACTGGGCAACCATTGGTCTGAAATGGTTTCCTGCTTCAGCAAGCAAGTTGGACTAGAAGACTTCCAAGGTCGCGTCCAACTCTTGTTATAGATTCATGAAGGTTTATTACTGACCTGAAAAGTTAGACGAGTTCAAAACACAGAACAGCAATTGCTTTCAAAGACATCACAAAATGTGGATTTTTTTTTACAACGGCAGTTTTAAGGCCGGGCATTGAAACTTAAGAAACCGAGGAACAACCAAGAGGGAAGCAAAACTGAGGCTCAACATCTGCACGATAGCAACCCAACACCCATGAAAGAAGAATGATGCAGCACTTTCCTCCCTTCCAACGTACATCTCCACTGTCACAGCTTGCTAGGTCTTAAGATTGCAAACTAAAATTTCATTCACTGAGTATCTTGGAATTTATCTCCACCCTGCAGTGTATGAGGGTCTGGATGGGTCTGGATGAGGGTCTGGATGGGGGTGAACAGGCTTAGACTCAACCCTGACAAGACAGAGTGGCTCTGGGTCTTGCCTCCCAAAGGCCAACTGGATGGTCCATCTTTAGTCCTGGGGGGGGGCAAATTTACCTCCCTCAGTGCAGGCACGCAACTTGGGTGTCCTCCTGGACTCACAGCTAAATTTGGAACAACATCTATCGGCTGTGGCCAGGGGGACCTTTGCCCAGGTTCGCCTAGTGCACCAGTTGCGGCCTTATTTGGACCGGGAGGCTTTACTCACAGTCACTCATGCCCTTGTCACCTCAAGACTGGATTACTGTAACGCGCTCTACATGGGGCTACCCTTGAAGGGCGTTCGGAGGCTGCAGTTGGTTCAGAAAGCAGCCGCGAGAGCGATTGTGGGCGCGCCAAAGTACGCCCATGTGTCACCTATCCTCCGCGAGCTGCACTGGCTTCCTGTGGGTCTCCGGACGCAATTCAAGGTGTTGGTTATCACCTTCAAAGCCCTTCATGGCATAGGGCCAGGTTACTTACAGGACCGCATTCTGCCGCACAGCTCCCAGAGATCGGTGAGATCTCATAGATTGGGCCTCCTTCAGGTCCCGTCGGCCAGACAATGTCGGCTGGCGGGCCCTCGGGGAAGGGCCTTCTCTGTGGTGGCTCCGACCTGGTGGAATCAACTTCCCCCCGAGGTTCGAACTACTCCCACCCTGCCGGCCTTTAAGAAAGCCGTTAAAACTCTCCTGTTCCGACAGGCCTGGGGCTGATGTCCCCGGGTGGCCGGGATATGATCGGACTCGCGGTATGACTGGATTAATTTATTGTTTTATGACTGTTTTTAACCTTGTACGCCGCCCTGAGTCCTTTGGGATTGGGCGGCATATAAATATTTGCAAATAAATAAATAAATAAATAAATAAATAAATATGAGATACTTTGCTTCCTTAGAATACAGAATAAAAGAGCTGGAAGGGACCTTGGAGGTCTTCTAGTCCAACCTTCTGCCCAGGCAGGAAACCCTACATACCATTTCAGACAATACCCTTTATTTTTTAAAAAAATAAAAAATAAAATAAAATTCTACTACACATTTCCTTGCTGAAAGATTGCTGCCTTTTTAGGCTGGAACCTACACGATTTTGAACCGAAAACGTCTCACGTATTTTGCCACTTGAACGATTTTGTAAACCAGAAGAATCCCTCATGTCGTAAAATGAATCAGTTAAAAAAAATTATCCCGCATGAGACGATTTCAGAGACCGAAAGAGCAAACTGTCGGCAATAATGGGAGTAAATAGGATAAATGTTACGACGTCCTAGGCCGAGATTTCGTTGAAAAAAAGCAACTACCAGCAGGAACGAAGAACAATGCTTTACTGGTGAAAAGAAGCATGAATAAAGTCGGCCCGACAATAAAAGTCCTTCAGATATTAGCTTCTCTAGCTCTGGTTGGGACACGATATAACTGCCTAAAATCCAGTTATTTTATTCAAAATAACAGAATAGAGTTGGAAGGGACCTTGGAGGTCTTCCAGTCCAAGGGGTCCCCAACACCCAGTCCGTGGACCACTACCGGGCTACAGCATGCCAGCAACTGGTCCGCACAAACAAAGCTCCATCCGTGGGATGCAGGCAGCACACAAAACCATGCACCCTCCGATCCGCGGAAAAATCTCTCTCCACGGAACCAGTCCCTGGTGCCCAAACGGTTGGGGATCTCTATTCTAGTCCAACCCCCTGCTCAGGCAGGAGACCTTATATATCATATTCAGACAAATGGTTGTCCAATCTCTTCTTTAAAACCTCCAGTGATGGAATACCCACAACTTCAGTAGGCAACTTCCGTTCCACTGCTTAATTGTCCTCACTATTAGGAAGTTTCTCTTTAATTCCAGATTGCTCCTCTCTTTGATTAGTTTCCATCCATTGCTTCTTGTCCTCCCCTTAGGTGCTTTGGAGAATAGATTGACTCCCTCTTCTTTGTGGCAGCCCCTGAGATATTGGAAGGCTGCTATCATGTCACGCCTAGTCCTTCTTTTCATTAAACTAGACATACCCAATGCCTGCAACTATTCTTCATGTGTTTTAGTCTCCAGTCCCCAATCATCTTTGATGCTCTTCTCTGCTCTTTCTAGAGTCTCGACATCTTTTTTACATCGTGGTGACCAAAACTGGATGCAGTATTCCAAGTGTGGCCTTACCAAGGCCTTGTAAAGTGATATTATTGCTCTTCTCTGCACTCTTTCTGGAATCTTCCTTGTCTTACCTTGGACCAGTTGATTCTTTTCATGGTGACTTCAGGCTTAAATTCTTTTTTAGGTTTCAATCCGAAAGGCAGCAATTGAGGAGGAGGAAGAGAGCGCTGACCTCCAGGTAGTCCAAGTAGTGGAGGTGGGGGTGGAGGAACGCCAAAGGCAGGTGGTAGTGGGGGTGGAGGAGGTGGAGGAGGAATAGTTCCACTGGAAGCTCCTGGTGATGGGACCACATCTGTGGGTGCTTCAACAGATGTCAGAGGACAACTGTTGGTTGAGCCATTCTGAAAAGAAGAAAATGTTGGCATTTCTAATGTAAGCACTTTGTGTAGTAAGTGCATACTCACTCTTTCTGCCAAAACAAACAGGACAGAGGTCAATCAATTCCATCGTCAGTCAATCCAAGCAAATCCAAAATGGCTCCCTGGTATATAAATCCAAAATGGCTCCCTGATATATAAATCCAAAATGGCTCCCATATATATACATACATATACATACATACATATATACATATATACATACATACATATATATATATAAGAATTACCTGACAAGACAAATTTAGATGATTAGAAGGTATTTTCTAAGGGTAAAGAAAACCTGAAGTAGGTGAAAGGATTAAAGCAGAAAACAGAAACCTTTCTCAAAATACTGGTTTCAATCCACGGTCAGGGTATAATTGGGATAAAAAGGACATTAATTGTAAGCAAGTAGTTTTTAAGACTGTAATATTCTAATGGTTCTAATGGTTTCTGCCCGAGCAGGGGGTTGGACTAGATGACCTCCAAGGTCCCTTCCAACTTTACTATTATTATTATTATTATTATTGTTTTTAATGTTTATGTTCTATTTCCCCCCCTTTTTGTATTTTCCTCGACTTACAAGTTTGTTTAGTGACTCTTCTAAGTTACAACAGCAATGAAAATATATATATCATCTATCATCTCTCTATATATATCCTGTCCGTCTGTCTGTCCGTCTATCTATCTATCTATCTATCTCTCTATCATCTATCTGTATCTATCTCTGTCTATCATGTATCTATCTATATCTCTCTATCATCTATCTGCATCTATCTCTATCCCTCTATCATCTATCATCTATCATCTATCTGTCTGTCTGTCTGTCTATCTCTACCTACCTACCTACCTACCTACCTACCTACCTACCTACCTACCTATCTCTCTATCTAATCTATCTATCTCTACCTGCCTACCTACCAGCTATCATCTCTTTATCTATCATCTCTCTCTCTCTCTCTCTACCTCTCTATCATCTATCTATCTATCTATCTATCTATCTATCTATCTATCTATCTATCTATCTATCTATCTATCTCTGTGTGTATCATCTATCTGTATCTATCTATCTCTACCTACCTATCTCTCTCTCTATCTAATCTACCTATCTCTACCTACCTACCTACCTACCTTACCAGCTACCTATCATCTCTATCTATTATCTCTCTATCAATTTCTCTCTCTCTCTCTCTCCATCAATCATCTCTTATGACCATTGTTCACACTTACGACCCTTGCAGCATTCCAATGGGTCACATGATCAAAATTTAGACACTTGGCGATTGACTCATATTTATGACGGTTGCCGTATTCCAGGCTCATGTGATCTTTTGTGACCTTCAGACCAGCAAACTTAAATGGGAAAACCAGATTCACTTAACAACTGTGTTACTAACTTAACAATTGCAGGGATCCACTTAACAACTATGGCAAGAAACGTCATAAAATGGGGCACAACTCATTTAACAAATGTCTCGCTTAGGAACAGAAATTTGGGCTCGTGGTCATTAAAAGTCGACCATTCCCTTGTTGTATATTGTATAACTTTTTCTTAAAAATAATTTATCCTCATTTATAATTTCATGACTTTATTCTGTGATCACTAGTGTATTATTTGTTATCTTGATGTTTGTCCGTGAAGTTTTAACAGTGAATTTTGGGATCAAACATCTTAAAGGTATTTTAAATAAATTCTGAATAGGATAAAACCACGAACTTCGGCACATTTGCAAATTTCTTATTTACTTGATTCTGTTTCTAGGAGTTTATTTTTTTTCTTTCTTTCTTGTAAGCGGGAAGGTGAATCTATATATATCTTAAATAAATTGTACTGCAGGAATAGTCAAGCACTGTCTCGCCCCAAGGTGAGACGGTATGTCTAGTTCATCTTTTGTTTTTCACTTAGCTTGCTTTTTAAAAGAAAGGGTTGATTATTGCAAGTTTGATGGCTAATCCGTTTAGTTTGGTTCACTGAAAAGCAGCAGATCTGCATATTTTATTTTATAACTTTTAATATGCAAACTAAGTTCAGTTATATTAGTTTCAAGAAAGACCGGAATCACAAGGAACTGCTTGATAACCACAGGAGCCACTTCTATCTGATCAAACCTGATGTACGATGTGATTTGATTTGATTTTATTTAAAAAATGTCCTGTTTAACTATAGGGCCTATAGCAGGGGTGTCAAACTCAATTTCATTGAGGGCCGCATCAGCATTGCGGTTGCCCTCGGGGAGCCGGGTGGGTGTGGCCAGGGTGGGTGCGGCCTACTGAGTGGGCGTGGATGGAGTGGGTGTGGCCTATTGGGTGGGCGTGGCCAGCTCTACATCGTTCGCGTCAAGGGTGCCTGTGGGGGCCTGGGCAGGAGTGGGACAGATCTGAGGGTCTCTGTCAGAAGGGGGGGGGACCAGGGCAAGCGCCAAGGCATGGTCCATTTCTTCATTCTTCACAAAGGGTGACACCTCCCCAGCATGCACCCGGGGGGGGACGACGCGGCAGGGGTTGGTTCCTCACTGTTTCTAAACGGCCTTGTGGAGCTAAGACTGAATGCGTTTCAGCATAGATGGCCACCACAAAATTGTACACTGGCTCCCGGCCGACCTGGGCCAGGGCCAAGGCAGCGGGGGCCGTTCCCTCACTGTTTCCAGGATGGCTTCGCGAGATACATGAAATCACTTGGCGGACCGCATCCGGCCCCCGGGCCTTGTGTTTGACATGTCTGGCCTATAGCATTTGCATTTCCACAGCAGACAACATCCCAAAGAGGTGGGCCAATTGTATCAGCTAAACATCAGCTACACTAACCAACAACATCCACCCCAAGTGTCAAGGTAATCCTCAACTTACAACAGTTCGTTTAGTGACTGTTCAAAGCTACAACGGCGCTTTTAAAAAGAGACTCATGACCGTTTTTCACAGTTAGGGCCACGAGATCAAAATCCAGACGCTTGGCAACCGACTCATGTTTATGACGGTTGCAGTGTCCCGGGGTCACGTGACCCCCTTTGGCATCCTTCTGGCCAGCGGAATCCAAGGGGAAAGCCAGACTCATTTAACAACGGTGTTCCTAACATAACGACGGCAGTGACTCATTTACCAACACTGGCAGGAAAGGTTGTAAAATGGGGCAAAATCCACTTAACAACTTTTTTCTACTTTGGAAGGAAAAGCTTGTGTTTTGAGGTCAATTGCGGTACTATCTGTAATTAGTTTGAAATAGCTAACCAATGAGATGGGATTTTTAGCAGACCAAGAAGGAAGGAAGGGAGGGAGGAAGGAGATACAGATGAGGGAGGGAGAAAGGAAGATGGAGGGAAGAGGGCACAGAGAGGAAGGAAGGAAGGGAGGAAGGAAGGAAGGAAGGAAGGAAGGAAGGAAGGAAGGAAGGAAGGAAGGAAGGAAAAATAGGGAGGGAGGGAAGGAAGGAAGGAAGGATGAAAAAGGAGAGGAAAAATGGAAGGAAGGAAGGAAGGAGATAGAGATGAGGGAGGAGAAAGGAAGATGGAGGGAGGGAGGGCACAGAGATGAAGGAAGGAAGGAAGGAAGGAAGGAAGGAAGGAAGGAAGGAAGGAAGGAAAAATAGGGAGGGAAGGAAGGAAGGAAAGAAGGAAGGAAAAACAGGGAAGGAAGGAAGGATGAAAAAGGAGAGGAAAAATGGAAGGAAGGAAGGAAGGAAGGAAGGAAGGAAGGAAGGAAGGAAGGAAGGAGGAAGGAAGGAGATAGAGATGAGGGAGGAGAAAGGAAGATGGAAGGAGGGAGGGCACAGAGATGAAGGAAGGAAGGAAGGAAGGAAGGAAGGAAGGAAGGAAGGAAGGAAGGAAGGAAGGAAGGAAGGGAGGGAGGGAGGGAGGGAAGATAAGAAAAAGAAGGATGCAGATACCAAGCAACTTGGAAATATTTTAAAATAAAAGAGCCTTGTCCTTCCTGGGGACAATCTCAACAAGTATTTTGTTACATAATGGCCAAGGAGGTGCGTTTAGGGAGATCACAAGAACGGAGGCACTAACTCTCATTACTGATCATTATCAGCTGGTAATTAAAATGTGCATTGCATGATGATAAGCCACTAAATTAATATAGTCCCTTTTAAAGACCGAGCAGGTTTGTAGACATTGATATATCTGAAATACTATGTGCCATCATCTACCTACCGATAAAAATGTATGTGCCAAAACAGGAGTTGTCCCTTCTTTCCTATTTCTACTATTCTACAACCGTATTTCAAGTGTCATGGCATCATCGCAACACCTTCAAAAGAACAACCACTTCCGACACCAGCTTTTCCTACCAAGATCGAGACCAAAAAGAACAGGAAAAAATGGCGCCGTGCCTTTCTCATTCAGAAATGACAAAGCACAGAGTCAAAGTCTTATTGGTTTTTACATGAATGCAGTAGCATCACACGTAAGTTGTTGCTAATTATTTTAACTGCATAAACAGCAACTTGTGAGTGCAGATTCTTTTTTTTTACCTCGTTTTTGTAAGGTTTTCTCCCTCCATCAAGGAGGCCAAGCTTTTCTTCGGTCTTCTGAAGCTGCGCCTTTGTCTCTTGGTGAGCCACGAACTCTTTTTCAAACTGGAACAAAAATGAAAAGGCACTGTGCATCATTAAATTTACAGGTGTAAATTGTCCGTTGCCCCGAGTATTGTCATGCTATCGTACCTAGATTTGCATATCACGCAATCTTAAGTGGCTCTGGGGAGATACAAAATATCAAGTTGATTTTTATTTCAAAACGAGGGAGTGAGATGGATTAGACTCTGCTTTGCTCTTGACAACTACATTGATTTTCATATATTTGTCTTAAAAGTCCATTGCTGGTGTCTGCACAGGAGCTGTTACATCAGTTCCAGGTTCCTGTAAAGATAGACTCTTGATCCTTGAATATTTTTCAACAAATCAACCCACTGGATTCAAGGCTAAGTTCCTCTTACCCGTAAAGTTGTTGTTTTAAATGCTGTCCACCACTTCTTTAAATGAAACCAGTTTATTAGATCAGAAACTGGCACCTAGTCTTTGCACTATCCAAATTCTTTAGAATAGAATACAATTCTTTATTGGCCAAGTGTGATGGGACAGAGAAGGAATTTGTCCCCGGTGCTTAAGCTCTCAGTGTACATAAAAAGAACCAAGTGGTATTAGGCAACCTATGGGTTTTACGGTTTTCTCCTTCACTACAAGACAAAGGCAATGTGTGAAAACCTCCAAAATTAGTCAAATCAGCCACTTCTTCTTATCCTTAAAGTTCAAATGAATCTGGGCAAATGTGAGCCAACAGCCATATCCTATAAAGCAGTGGTGGCGAACCTATGGCGCGCGTGCCAGAGGCGGCACTCAGAACCCTGTGGGCACATGAGCTGTCGCCCCAGCCCCGCCTCCCCCGCGGCTCCCTCACCAGCAGCCTCCCCCAGAGGAGAGTCACCTGGAGCGTGGCCCATGCAGAGCAGCGCAGCCAAGGACATGGCAGCCGGGCAGCAGGGACAAGACTCCGCCCTCGCGCCCCGTCGCTCACAGATGATATTGTGGGGCGCGGGCGGAGGGCGTGGTCGCCATGGCGCTGCTGGATCACCTGGGCGATCTGTGGCGGGCCGTGGAGGCGGGCGATGCGGGGGGGGGGCGGTGTGGTTTTTGGGCACTCAGTCTCTAAAAGGTTCGCCATCACTGCTATAAAGTATTCCGCAAAGAACACACCTTATGTAGAAATGGTAAACTGCTTGTCCAATTTTAAACTAATCTGTACAGTAAGTAGAGACATGTTGCCACAGTTGTTTTTGTCGCTCTTTGGAAAGTGTTTCAAGGCAAAGCTGCCAAACTTCCCAACAATGGCCAAAAACAATGGGCCTGTCCATTGTCAGGTATGCTCAGTGGGGCCTAATCTAGGATGCTGGGAAGCCACAGGCTCCCACACAGCTTGATGTAGCCTAACAATTCTAGTAAGAAATCCAATTTCTCTTGCAACAGGTTCTACGGTAGAATAGCAGGTGCCTTTGGCTTTTTTAGGCCCACCTTATTTTATGACAGGGTACATAAATTCAACGTAAATTGGTGCAATGTGGCTGTTAAAAATAGAGAGCTGTAGTTTAGTAATAAAGGAAGGGCCGCAGATTCGTATTCCAGGATTTGGGAGAACTAATAAATTGATCCCTCGTGATTTTTTTTTCCCTAGCGAAATTTCTTGAAACATTTCCTTCATATTTTTTTTCTCATCCTACCAACGTCTGTTTATTTTGCATCAAAGAAAATGGAAGATGAAAATAATAAGATGACGTCCAAACGCTGTGTAACTGATAAATGCGCACTCCAGGATTCAACAATTAAGGATTAGAAAAGCATAATAAAACGGTTCGATCAATCTCTTGATACTTTAGTTGAAAAGCAACTTCAGCTTCCAGCTGTAGATCAGAGCTGCAGTAACAGTTCACTACCAAAATCCTTTCCAGCTGTTATGTTTTAGTAAAAGGGTGGAAGGAAAATGGCCGCCATTTTGGATCACCGCAGCTGGGTTTTAAGTGAAAATCTCAATCTTCATGTTTGTTATCTTGTCTCTTGTAAAATGATTTTATTTTAGGTCCCAGAGATTACAGGACATTTGGACATTATAATAGGAAGGTTTGAGAATAAAACTTCTCTAAAATTACCTTTTTCAAGAATTCTGAAGCTTTTCCTTCAAGTTCTTCCATTTTCTTCTGTTCGATACAGATATCTAGCAGAAAATAGCCCATATAAATCTTTTGGATAGCTTTTACTGATTAGCCAATCTCAGAGAACAGTCCATAGGAAGAGTAAAACTTATGTCAACTTGTACCCGACCCTAAGATAAAGCAAATCTGTCCAGCAGTGTCAAGAAACATGAATATTTACATCCTAATTATTTAAGTAGAAACAAGTAAAAAAAAAAATTGCTTCCATTAATGACTGACAGCTACGCTGCTAGCTTCAAACGGCAATGACTAAACTTTTCATAAAACAGTTTAAAAGATACAAGCCAGAAATAACAGTTTGAAAGCATTTTCTTCATAGGTATTCAGAGATGTTTAGCAATTACATTATTGATTTCAATACGATACTCAAGGAACTGCTATTTGTAAGTGTGTCAGGATCACGAAAACATATATTGCAAGTATGCAACTAAACCAATCAGAAAATAAGATTTGTTGCTTATTACCAAGTATGTGTATATGTACACACACACACACACACACACACACACACACACACACACACACACACTGTATGTATGTGTATAACTGGCAAAAACAAATGTACATCATTACAGAACACTTCCTGAATTTAATTTCTGGAACTATTTATTCATTCAGCCATTCATCACATTTAAATAGCTTCCCATCTCACGTGTGGTATACAATAATAACAATCCCTAGTAACTCTTTTTTTTTTAAATGTGATCTTTCATATGAGTATAAATATGGCATATGAATACCTACCCAATATGTGACTGAAATTTACATCCAGCCTTTTTCGATAACTAAAATCTGGGTCCAGACCACTTCGATGTAAGACCACCTGTGAAACGCACTCTTCGATTAACTTGAAATACAGAGGTCTAAAGAAATGACAAGAAAAGGTATGCATTTTAATTTTACGCTTCTGAGGCGATACTGCTTTTAACGCAGTGCAACATATTCGTGCTTCAACATTGACCTGAGTTAGGATTTAAGACTTCTGTCAGTCTCGTCAAGGCTGAACCCTGGCTAATGTTAGCTGGAGAACTGACACAATAACTAAATATGTCTCGGAAACTGGGACTCATTCTTAAGCAGGATGGAAGTTTGTGATCCATCCTATCTCTTGATGAAGCATCTACACAATCTGACAGGCGCCCTTCAGTAGGAGACAGCAGGAAATGCTAGTCTCCCTTATGCCCTCTGTCAGGGATAGGCAACCTTGGCTCTTTTATGACTCGTGGACTTCAACTCCCAGAATTCCTGAGCCAGCATGGAATTCTGGGAGTTGAAGTCCACGAGTCATAAAAGAGCCAAGGTTGCCCACTCCTGTCCTATGTAAAAGAATGATAGAAATGGACATCAATATAACAGAGCAGCCTCCAATGCAACTGTTTTCTATTGATGTTTTCCTTGGAGATCCTTAGGCACTTAGCCGGCCACCGTTCCAAATAGGATGCTGCATTAAAAAGATTTTTTTTTCTTCCCAAACTTGGCTTTTTAAAGAAGTGTGGACTCCAACACTCAGAATTCTGGGAGCTGAAGTCCACACCCATCTTAAAGCTGCCAAGTTTGAAAAAAGGCGAGATAGACAATATTGGGTTGATCTAGGCATGCTCTTTTCAGGGGTTGTGTACGGCAACATTTCACTTTGCAGAAAAGTCTTGATTTTAATTGTCTGGGGTGGGGTGAAGTTTTGCCACAACAGGCAAAAAGCAAGGGGCCAAGAAAAGCATCGTGACCAGTCACTTAATTTCAATAGCTGTACCTTCTGTGCCACATACAAAAAAAAATGTGTGCGAGAGGATTTTGCAGCTAATGAATACGCCACTGATGGCTCAGAGTTTAAGACCTCATTTTTATATTTCCTAATCTCTTTGGTTTATTCCATATACCATTTTCTCTCGTTGTTTGGTAGGCTTCTTTCTGCTTCTGTTTATTTTTGCCACGTTAAAAATCTACCAATTCAAGACTTGCTTCGCAAGCCGTTATCTCACACTTTAGAACAATTTCAACGGTGCTTGTATAAAAAAAGACTCTTTGTTTTTACACATTTCTCCCCACAATATTCTACAGCGGACACCAACTTCTGCCACGTGAGGTCTGATATTGGCTAAATAACTCTGTTATTTAAAGAAATTAAAAGATGCTTGCTCCTGGGGAGGAAAGCTATTGCAAATCTAGACAGCATACTAAAAAGCAGAGACATCACCCTGCCAACAAAAGTACTGTATATCCAGGCCATGGTTTTCCCAGTTGCAATGTATGGCTGTGAAAGTTGGACTATAAGAAAGGCTGAGCGCCAAAGAATTGAGGCCTTTGAACTATGGTGCTGGAGAAGACTCCTGCGAGACCCCTGGACTGCAAGGCGATCAAACCGGTCAGTCCTAGAGGAGATCAACCCCGACTGCTCTTTAGAAGGCCAGATCCTGAAGTTGAAACTCAAATACTTTGGCCACCTAATGAGAAGGAAGGACTCACTGGAGAAGAGCCTGATGCTGGGAAAGATGGAGGGCAAGAGAAGAATGGGACGACAGAGAAAGAGGTGGCTGGATGAAGTCCCTGAAGCAGGAGGTGTGAGCTTAAATGGACTCCAGAAGATGGTGGAGAACAGGAAGGCCTGGAGGAACGTTGTCCATGGGGTCGCGATGGGTCAGACACAACTTTGCAACTAACAACAAATAACTCTGTAGAGAAAGCCCTTGGGGGAAAAGGGGGGGAGGCAAAACCAACAAAGAAAAGAAATATGCTGTCAATCTTTGGGCACCCGGAGCATCTGTGTGATAAACACGTTTAACAGAAATCTTTCCGACTCAGCAAGCAGCAACTGGCAATCTTGATCGAGATTTATGCCTCTGAATAGCAAAAGCTGTTTTTAGACTTTCCTGGTCTTCTTGCTGCTTTATATATTGGTGCATTTCAATAGCCTGCTTTTTTTCCTGTGAACAAAAAGGTGACCTGGGCTGGATTCTCTTACAATGTTACTCCATAATGATGATCTTGCAAGGTAAATTGGCGGAATAACCGGCCCAAAGTCCCCCTCGGTAAGGTTTTTTTTTTTTATTCAAGAAGGTGGAGTAAAGCTACATGTCAGTAATCAAAGTGCAGAGCTTTGCGGCACTCGCCTATTATAACACCTACTCAAAAAAGTCAGTGTTTTATTCCAAGCAGCTACCCATGTAATTTGCATAACGACAGCGGAGGCTATTTCCAGAAAATCAGTTTGATTCCAACACGAAGCTCTCTTTCTCAAAATCCTAGCTAAGATTGGATTACCCGTTAAGCAAACTAATCACAATTATTTACTTATACCAAACCCAAATTATGGGGGGAAAAAAATCCAGTTCACTATCAGCCTTTATCGGGAAAGTTTTTCCTCGCTATCGGGATTTCATTTTTTGAGGCCAAGACCAAAGTTAAATCCAGAGGTCAAATAAACCGGCCACCCACATCTTTCTTGGGACTCCGCTGAATAAATGCAACAATTGAAGACCTATTTTTCTACATTTTAAGGAGCTACAAGGTTTTCTAGGGACATGTCAACTCTTAAAGAATCAGAAATTTTCACGCAAATTAGGTTGGCCTTCTTGACCTGCCACCTCTGATTTGACAGATGTTGCATGCTTCTAAGTTCAGATTTATCTGAAGGTCTTCTGTGGAAACTAAGACACTGGGATAAAAACGTGCAACAGGTTGCAAAACGCTTGATACTTCGTAAGCAATGTCCAGATAGGAGCTTCAGCAAGTTTTCGTACCGTACAATTGTTTCCTTACCGTATAAAATTATCATTTCGTATCAGCAAGAGGTGCTGCAGGATAGAAAGGAAGCAGTTTTCCGCACTCGTGTCCTTAACGCTATTCCACACTAAATTAAAAACGTCATTTGCATCAGTAATCAAATTAAGGATAAAAAAAATATTTCAAGTGGATTGTACATGGTAGATAAGTTATTCTTTTCAAGATGAATTTAGATTTTTATTTTTTGCTGAAGTTACGTATCATTTTAAAATTTAAGTTGGCGAGGAAAAATGATTTATGCTTTGGGCCCAAAATGAGTCATCTGCCACAAACTGATTTTTGTTCCAGGACTTCTGGGAACAACATAGCACTTCTTACAGTCCATCCACGATCCTCTCCTTTTGATTATTACAACACGAGAATCGCCAAATTTTAGTTTGATAGTGTAAATAGAGTCAATTAAGAATCAAGAAACACTATCATTGCTTGGATGCTGGCTACCACGACTGCTTTAACTCAGAGATCTCCAATCTTTCTGGGTGGGTGGCCTGGTGGCACTTTACATGCACATGCACAAACGTGAAGGTGGCCACACGTGCATGCGCACACACAAACAGGCCGCGAGCATGGACAGCACGCAAATGGGGCTGCGAGCATGCGCATGAGGCTCTCAGCCATGGTGGTGCCTGTGTGTGGGTTGTGGCGGCACTGCCGCCTGGCTCATGGTGATGCTACCACCAGCGTGAGGACCACACCACCACCCTGCATGAGGCTTGTGCCACGGCCCACAGCGATGCCACCACTGGCACAAAGATCCCGCTATCTCTTGTGGCACTGCTGCTGTGTACACAAGGTTCATGGCAATGTCACCAACTGTGTGTGGCATGCTGTCGCCCATCTGCTGCTTGCCATGCTCCGGCCCCCCGTGCGAGGTCCGTGGCAACGCTGCTGCCCACACAACACTCATAGCAATGGTGGCATGAGGGGGGTGAGCACGTGCACACGTGCACTGCCAAACTATTCACGTGGCCCAGTGACCAAGAGGCCACGGGCCAGTAATGGGCCACAGCCTATAGGCTGGGGACCTCTGGTTTAACTGATTACAAATTTCCGTTTTTTTAAAAGGATATTCAAACTCTGATCTGATATCATCTAAACGGTGGGAAAATTCAATCATATCTTCTTCTTTGTGTTCACTGAATACTTTCAGCTGGATATCCAAAGCTTCATTCCTTATGCATCTCAGCAGCTGCAGTGGGAAAGCACCAAACAGTACTGTAATTAATAACGGCCTGTTAAAATGAGTTATTTTGAACAAAACGCATGTATCCAAAGCTAATAATTTGGGTGAATTTATGCTATTCAAATATGTACTTTGTGAAACAATTTTTACAGGAGGCAGTTTGTTCTGTCATATATATATATATGAGGTTTTTGCGGGTGTTTGTATGTAGGTCTTTGGTTATTCGGGTTTTCTCCCACGTAAAATTGGAAGTGTCTTGGCAACGTTTTGACGAAGTCCCATTCGTCATCTTCAGGCTGGTGTTTTTGGCTTCGTGCTCCTAGAAGCACGAAGCCGAAAACACCAGCCTGAAGATGACGAATGAGACTTCATCGAAACGTCGCCAAGACACTTCCAATTTTGACGCGGGAGAAAACCCGAATAACCAAAGACCATACTATATATATATATATATATATATATATATATATATATATATATATATATATATATATATATGTATATATATATGTATATATATATATGTCTGCAAGGCATTTTACACTTCTTCTCATTGCAATCTTCTAATTTAAAAGTTAATTCACATGTACACACACTTACCGGCAGTCGCTCTTTTAATCCGCAACGCATAAATTCATTCCGAATGTGGAGTCTGAAGTCCAAATCATCAGGAGTTGTAACCAGAGCATTGATGAACTGCATACAGGCTATCTACAAAATGCAAAAACTTCAATCTGCAGGACTTCGCTGGCCTTCACTGATTTGTAGCACTAGCATTAAGACGTATATGACACTTCACAGTGTTCTACAGCCCTCTCTAAGCGGTTTACAGATTGAGCATTATTGACCCCAACAATGTGGGTCCTCATTTTACCAACCTCGGAAGGATGGAAGGCTGAGTCAACCTTGAGCCGGTCAGGATCAAACTCCTGACTGTGGGCAGAGTTAGCCTGCAATAGCAATAGCATTAAGATTATATACCGCTTCACAGTGCTTTACAGCCCTTTCTAAGCGGTTTACAGAGTCAGCCTATTGCCCAACAATCTGAGACCTCATTTTACCAACCTCGGAAGGATGAAAGGTTGAGTCAACCTTGAGCCGGTCAGGATTGAACTGCTGGCAGTCGGCAGAGTTAGCCTGCAATGCTGCATTCTAACCACTGCGATACCAGGGCTCTCAAATTTCTGTCTTCAAAGTATGTTCCCAATATGAAACATCCAAAGAAAACAGACAACTCAGACAAAGCCAACAGGAGAACTTATTATTTTATTGCTATGAACATTACGAAATTGTTATGTGATGAACAAATTGTCTATGTGTAGTTGGGGAGGTGTTACCTATAAAATAACGTTATTCAAAGGGGAATAGCTATATAATTTCACGGGATTATTAAACGTTTCCATTTTTTTTCTGCCAAAAGACAATCAACACATCTAGAGGTAGACAAACTTTAGAAGTGATCATGAACATATTCAAATTTTTATCTTATGAATTTAACTGGTGTTAAGTTTTACAAATGCTGGATAAATGCAATTTCCAGCGCATTCTTCTTTACTTAAAACAATATATGATATTTAATTGTAATATGGCAATTACAATTAAAAGAACTTTATGGGTTGAAATTGAAGTATCAGGCCGTTATATTTCTTTTAGGTAATCAGGAAGAATTAAGTCTTTCTAGGTCAGTGGTCCCGAACTTCTGGGCACCAGGGATTGCTTCCGTTGAAAACAATTTTTCCAGGGCCCAGGTGGTTTTGTGCGCTACCTAGATCCTGCACGTGCGCAAATTAAGCTTTGCTCACTTGCGCAGCCCAGTTCCTAACAGGCCACGGACCGGCACCTAGCTGTATCCAAGATTGAATAATTGTCCAAGAATTTATTTTTCTTAGAGTACGCTTACTACGTTAGTTACATTGATTGGTTTTAAAACACCACAAAAAAAAGCATCACTTACTTGCAGATGGACTGAATTCTCCTCAAGACCCTTCAGAATGGGGCCAAATCGGTCAATACCTCTGTCTTGTGCGGCTGTAGTCAAGGCTTTCAAAATCTTTTCCAGACTATGGAAGGAAGGAAAGAAAGAAGGAAAAGAAAAGAAAAGGAAAGGAAAGGAAAGGAAAGGAAAGAAGGAAAGAAGGAAGGGAAGGAAGGAAGGAAGGAAGGAAGGAAGGAAGGAAGAAAGGAAGGAAGGAAGGAAGGAAGGAAAGGAAGGAAGAAAGGAAGAAAAAAGGAAGGGAGGGAGGAAAGAACTATTATTAAACTAAACAGACCTGCATACTTCAGTCTCACATCTTAAATACCTTTATTTCAAGGGACATGAAATAAATCACCAAGCAATATTTCCCAGAAAACTCCAATTACCAACCATTCACAATGGAGTTCACATTCTACACAGCCTAATACATCCTGCAAGGAAATTTCCACCAGGGAACAGTTGTGCTGGGAAATCCTCACCGGATCAAAAAGCAAAGCATCTGCAAAAAAACACGATTTCTCCTTTGACACCAACCTTCTGAAGGCCTGGACAACCCTGGCTAAAAGTACGTAGAGATATTTCTGTGCCTCTTGGGGTTCGTCACGCAACTTATCCAGCTGTGTTTACGACAGAGAGTCCTCGACGTACAACTGTTCATTTAGTGGCCATTCACTTAATAACTGGGTTACTAATTTAAAAACGGCAGCGATTCCCTTAACAACTGGGGCAAGAAACTGGGGCAATGTTAACTGTCCAGGTTCCGACTGATGATCCCGACGAAGTGAGCACAGCTGAGACATTCCAATCTCTGATGCAAAACTTTATTGAGCTCAGCATATCCGCACAGATGAGTGGGAAACTAGCTCTGGCACCTAAATCAGTTAAATCTTAGAATTTCCCTTCCCCCCCATTAGTGCAGATCACATTGTCCAATAAGGTGTCAAAAAATTGCTATGAGAGAATGTTTCAGTTCTCAGGAAATAGTTCTCAAACGACCTTGATGCTCATGACTCGGCAGCCCGATGTCTGAAGCCTGCATTCCATTCTTCCTTCCCCTCCCACCCCAAGTCTGTAGGCAAGCTAAGAAGAAAAATGGACGCAGGTACATAAGAAAACCAAGATCATGGCATCTGGCCCTCTCAATTCCTGGCAAATAGATGGGGAAGAAATGGAGGTAGTGACAGATTTTATCTTTCTGGGCTCCAAGAACACCGCAGATGGGGACTGCAGCCAAGAAATTAAAAGACGCTTGCTCCTGGGGAGGAAAGCTATGGCAAATCTAGACAGCATACTAAAAAGCAGAGACATCACCCTGCCAACAAAAGTGCGTATAGTCCAGGCCATGGTTTTCCCAGTTGCAATGTATGGCGGTGAAAGTTGGACCATAAGAAAGGCTGAGCACCAAAGAATTGAGGCCTTTGAATTATGGTGCTGGAGAAGACTCCTGCGAGTCCCTTGGACTGCAAGGCGATCAAACCGGTCAGTCCTAGAGATCAACCCCGACTGCTCTTGAGAAGGCCAGATCCTGAAGTTGAAACTCAAGTACTTTGGCCACCTAATGAGAAGGAAGGACTCACTGGAGAAGAGTCTGATGCTGGGAAAGATAGAAGAAGGGGACGACAGAGAATGAGATGGCTGGATGGAGTGACTGAAGCAGTAGGCGCGAGCTTAAATGGACTCCAGAAGATGGTAGAGGACAGGAAGACCTGGAGGAACGTTGTCCATGGGGTCGCGATGGGTCGGACATGACTTTGCAACTAACAACAACAACATAAGCATTCTTCGTAGCTTGACAGTTACACTTACATGTTTTCGTCACCAATAATGCATATTGCAGAGAGAAGTTTAACTGCATCAGTCATCATGTTGATTTGTTTGGGATCGATTGTTTTGGCCAGTAACGAAAAACTCCTTTCTTCGTTCATTATTCTCTCCAAGCCGTACTAAAGGGTCAAGGGGTAAAAATTAACAGGAGGCAGAAGGTGATTGTTAACAAGATGCACATATGCAGACCGTTAGTTGCTGCTGCGTTTTCACATACACGTCAGGAGAAAGATCTGTGAAATCCTACAAAATTGTGAAGAGTTTCAAAGGCGCTTCCACAAGAGAATCAGCAATGTCAACTATATGTCTCATATATAGTTCTCAGTCATCCAGGTCATAGTTATCCCAAAGGTGCTTTTCCACGAGGCAACTCGGCCTTTTCAAGAGCTGAAGAAGCTACTTGGATGAGAAGCAAAATGTCTTCAAAGAAAAACAAGGAAGTCCAGTTGCCTCGTGGAAAAAAAAACACCTTTGGGACAATGTTAACCATGTGACAAGTTGAGATTGACTTAAATATTTTTCCTTTTATTTAGTAAGTTTTCCTCCTTGTCATCTCACTTCGATGTCTACAACATGTTTACAACTCACTTCTGTTAGGCTATTAAATAATATCATATAATATACAGGCAGTTCTCAGCTTACAACCATTTCCTTAGTGATCTTTCAAAGTTCACTAAAGGCACAGAAAGTTGACTTATTGTCACATTTACATTTATGTTATGATGATCTCTCTTTTACTTCAAGGTAACTAGAGAATACAGAACAGGGTCAGCCATCTGTGATAAAATTGAACAGCTCTCTCTAGACTAGGGGTCGGCAACCCGCGGCTCCAGAGCCGCATATGGCTCGTTCTCCGACGAGCTGACAAGCTTATTGGGCGGGGCTCCTCCCTTTGCTGCATCTCTGCAGGAAGCAGGAATCAAGAAGGGCAGGAGACAGGAGTCTAATAACAATGTGTGTCAGCTGGTTGGAGAACAGCCTGAAGCCAGCTTGCCAGGTGAGCAGAAAGAGAGAGAGAGGGGGGGAGGAAAGAGAAAGAGAGAGAGAGAGAGAGAGAGAGAGAGAGAGAACTCATGCACAGCAGCCTCTATTTCTTTTTAATTAAACTCTTCAATCAAGCTCCCCACTCCTTGCGTGTGCACGTGCGTGCACAAGTTTTCTGACTCCCAGTGTTTTCTGGCTCCCAAGTGGCTCTTTGAGTGTTTAAGGTTGCAGACCCCTGCTCTAGACACACGGGGAGGGATACGACATCATCGATCTCCAGTCTACAACACAGTCCTTTCAGCAGTTCCAAGAAGGCTCCAAACCCATTTGCACCCCTCAGGTGACCCTGAGGACACAGGTCAACCTCAAGGTAGCTTTAACAAATCTCTAAAGAATGCAAATGACCAGCTGTCTGCAAGGAGTATAAATCCTTCCATTCCCCACCATCCAAGCTTGAGATGAGAAGCAAAACACCTTCCAAGAAAAAAAACAAGAAAGTCCAGTTGCCTGAAAAAAAGCATCTTTGGGACAACCATGACCTGGATGATGGAGTCACTTTTGTTCAGTGCTGTTGTAACTTCCAACGATCACTGAACAACCACTGCAAGTCAAGCACTGCCTGTGTGTGTTCATATTCACCACTGTTGCAAACTTCAACTTCAGCTAAGCAGATGAGCGTTACTGACCTTGTTGTTCATGAAAGCTTTTAAGCACTGAATGATCTTATGCTGTATCTTCTTGAGAAGTTTGTCCTGTCTGAACAGAAGAAGATAAAGAGACAAAAATTATATCAGGCTGGTTTACTGTCCGTTCTTTCTTTCTGAGATCTACAGACTTGTTAGAAGACTTACTGCTTGCTTTCCACCAGTTTTTCCAAGATGTCCAATAATAATCCGAGCCCTTCCTGTCCAAAGTTCTCAACCCAGCTGCAAAAAATAAATTAAAAAAACAAACAAATCTCTATGTTAATTTTTGGCATTGATAATAAACGCATCCAAGTCAATAAACACATTGGTGCAATGGATCATCAGTGCCCAAATTCTTCAGTTCCTGGTTGTGCCGTTTAGTTTCTGTAACCTATTATATTTAAGAAGAAGAACAATGTTGGAAGGGACCTTGGAGGTCATCAAGTCCAACCTCCTGCTCAGGCAGGAAACCCTATATCATTTTGGACAAATGGCTGTCCAGTCTCTTCTTAAAAACTTGCAGTGTTGGAGCATTCACAACTTCTGGAAGCAGGTTGTTCCACTGGTTAATTGTTCTAACTGTCAGGAAATTTCTCCTTAGTTCTAGGATACTTCTCTATTTGGTTAGTTTCCATCCGTTGCTTCTTGTCCTGCCTTCAGACGCTTTGGAGAATAGCTTGACTCCCTCTTCTTTGTGGCAACCCCTGAGATATTGGAACACTGTTGTCATGTCACCCCTCGTCCTTCTCTTCATTAAAGTAGACATACCCAATTCCAGCAATTGTTCTTTATATGTTTTAGCCTCCAGTCCCCTAATCATCCAGTCCCCTAATCATCTTTGTTGCTCTTCTCTGTACTCTTTCCAGAGTCTCAACCTCTTTTTTACATTGTGGTGACCAAAATTGGATGCAATATTCCAAGTGTGGCCTTACCAAGGCATTGTGAAGTAGTATTAACACTTCACGTGATTTTGATTCTGTCCCTCTGTTAATGCAGCCCAGCACTGTGTTGGCTTTTTTGGCAGCTGCAGCACACGGCTGGCTCCTATTTAAGGGATTGTCCACTCGGACTCCAAAATCCCTCTCATAGTTACTACTATTAAGCAAGGTACCCCCTATACTATACCAGTACATTTCCTCCCACACATCCTTGCCCTCATATGAGAAGACGTGGAAAGCAAATGGAGGACCTCAGTTGGAGGGAGTAGAGGCAACATAGCAGTTACTGTTACTGAGCAAGTTACCCCCTATCCTATACCTGTGCATTTGGTTTTTCTTGCCTAAATGTAGAACCTTCCTTTTTTCACCATTTTTTAACAATGGCACTTTTAAAAATAAGGCAGGATTTCTTTCTGGAGACACCCACTTTCATTCCTGATCATATAAGGAACGGTTGCTGGAATTGGGTATGTCTTGTTTAATGAAGAGAAGGACGAGGGGGGACATGATAGCAGTGTTTCCAATATCTCAGGGGCTGCCCCAAAGAAAAGGGAGTCAAGCTCTTCTCCAAAGCACCTGAAGGCAGGACAAGAAGCAACGGGTGGAAATTCATCAAGGAGAGAAGCAACCTAGAACTAAGGAGAAACGTCCTGACAGTTAAAACAATTAACCAATGGAACAACCTGTCTCCAGAAGCTATGAATGCTCCAACGCTGGAGGTTTTTAAGAAGAGACTGGACAGCCATTTGTCCGAAATGGTGTAGGGTTTCCTACCTGAGCAGGGGGTTGGACTAGAAGACCTCCAAGGTCCCTTCCAACTCTTTTCTTATTGTTATTGTTATATTGTTGTTACTGTTATTGTTATTGTTGTTGTTGTTGTTGTTATTATTATTATTATTATTGATCATCGCACAGTCAGCCAGATGTTCAGACTGGATTTGGCATTTTGTCTACCTATCGAGTCCTTACCCAGGACCTGGGATAGGCAGATGTGGATGTTTGATGGTATTACAGATATCGTCGCAGGATGGAAGCATTTCCTAGTAAGGCCGCCTTTTGCAATTGACTAATAGCGAATTTGTCAATGCCAATGGTGTTCAAGTGGTGCTCCAGTTGTTTTGGGACCGCACCTAAGAAGCCTATTACTATTGGTACTACCCTTGCTTGCTTTTGCCACAGTCTTTCTATTTCTATTTGTAGATAACAAAATACAACCTTCTCCAGTTCTTTCTCGTCTATTATTATTATTATTATTATTATTATTATTATTATTATTATTATTATTATTATTATTTACAAAGAAAGTCCTGTCCTTTCCTCAGTTGGTTTCACTTCTATCATAGGTTGCAAAATCCCGGCAGGCTACAATTTCCTTCTGGCACGCTCTCTCCTGGAGCAGCTGCACGGAGAGGTGAATAATCAGATCCTACTCTTTGTAAATCCTTTTCCTCAATTTTAAGCTTCACTGCTTCCTCGCAGTCTTTCCTCTCTTCTCCACCTCTGCAAAGTGAGGGACAGAGCCCCACCCCACAATGCCCAGGGGTCTTATGCCCTCCAGCCACGATTTCTCTTCCTTTCCAAGGCAAAAAGCAGGTGTTCAAAAACAATCCCAAAGCCCGCACAGAGTATTCACTGCATAATACTTTTTAGTAAGGAAAGGGGAAGCGTGGGTTAGGTTACAAGCTGTAGTTGTACCCATGCCACATGCACCATCCCTTGCTGAGGATAAAAAAAAAGAAAGACACAATGCCAATCGGTTTAGGCACACACTACACCCAGTTTTCTCCAGAGCAAACTCACACTGTTGTAGATGGATTAGACACCACCTTTCAAACCAACGGGCCGTTACCAACATCCATTAGTCTGGATGCACATGCTGTGCGGGGCATAGCTTGACTTACCCTTAAAGGGATTAGCGTGATATGGGTGTCAGACTTTCTCAAAAATTGTAAATTCCTCACAGGGAGAAAGCTTACATGTTCTAGAACAGGAATAGGGGACACTGCTTTATATAGGGTCAGGCACTGGGTTCAACTTGTTCAATATTACAGCAGATCTTACAGAATTTCAGACTGGAACAGGGCAGTTCAAGACTCAATTACTGAACCCATGGAAAGCTGGGTAAGCAAAGTTATGTATTCAAGAGGGACAGTGAATAATATTTATAGGTTACTTATATGTAAGGGTGTAGGTCTATACATATGTTGTATATAGGATGTTTTAAATGGGTGGTATGTATATGTACATTTTGAGAGCAAGCAACTGAACTTCATTTTTAAGGTGTGCCATTGTGCCCATAGGAAAAATGACAATAAAGGTTTATGATCAATCTGTCTGTCTGTCTGTCTGTTTGTTTATCTATCTATCTATCTATCTATCTATCTATCTATCTATCTATCTATCTATCTATCTATCTATCTCTGTATCTATCTATCTATCTATCTATCTATCTATCTATCTATCTATCTATCTATCTATCTATCTATCTATCTATCTCTGTCTCTATCTATCTATCTATCTCTGTCTCTATCTATCTATCTATCTATCTATCTATCTATCTATCTATCTATCTATCCATCCATCCATCTCAAAGTGTACACATACATAACACACATTTAAACATGCTATATACAACATATGTATATAGACCTACATCCTTACATGTAAGCAAGATTTTGTTTTTATTTTTAGACTTCCCACTAAAAAGTTCTTCATTAAAAAAAAAATAATCTGTAGACTACGTGTAAATAAGTCGTGTTCGTGTTCATAAACCCCTGCAAGCAAATTATCCAGATATTGCCATTTAAAAAATCCTACATCCACTGATTTAATCAAGTTCTAATTTTAGTGCCAGAGACCTCTGACAAGATCATAATGATATGGAGATTAATTCAAGAACAAACGAATGTGCAACCAGACGAAGCACATCAATAGCACCCCGTAATAAACTCCTGAGAAGAACTTCCTGGATTATTGCAAAAATCTAGTTTTCAGAATGCAGGGAGATATATGAAGCTACCAAGCCTATATTTCTGTATGTGGCTTGGTCAATGACCAGCTATTTTAATAAAATTAAATTCTGTAAAGGTAATTCTCGACTTACAACTGTTCATTCAGGGACTGTTCAAAGTTACATCAATGAAAAAAGTGACTTTTGACCAGTTTTTTACACTGACAACCGTTGTCCACATGATCATGCGATCAAAATTCAGACGCTTGGCAACTGACTCATATTTATGACGGTTTGCAGTGTCTACCAGATCATGTGATTGCCTTTTTGCAACCTCCTGATAAGCAAATTCAATAGAAGCCAGAGTCTCTTAACAGCAATGTCCCTAACTTAACAAGGTCGTAAAGTGGGACAAAACTCACTTAACAACCGAACTGTGCTCATAAGTCGAGGGCTATCTGCATAAGTGGCTTCGCTTCTAAAAGCGATTTGGGCCCCTTGCAAATTCAAACGATCGGAAATGGAATCAAGGTGGGACAACCGTATTAAAACAAGTCATGATCGCCTGGAATGAATTTTCACAAATATTTATTTATTTATTTATGAGACTTATATACCGCTTTAAGTGCAAGCACTCTCTAAGCGGTGTACACCAGTAAGCAATGTGCGGTGTGTATGTGTATATATATATATATATATATATATATATATATATATATATATATATATGCAGGAAGTTTTTCAGACAGATGTCTAATTGATTACACCTTGACATTTTTAACTGCTATACTGCAGTTTTTTACTTTTTACAATCTCTTTTGCCTTGCAGCCCCCAACTAGGGGCGTTAAGCAGGCTCAAGTCGCAACTGCGAAACATTACAAATCCAAATTTCTTTTTCTGACAAAGAATTAAAGAATTAAATTGGGAGACTAAGATGGCCATTTCGAGCTCATTCTGCTCTCGTCAGTTAGCCACACCCTTTATGGGATTCGAACCTGGGCAGTTTACATACTAGGCAGTGATTTAACCACCAAGCCACAGGCTCTCCTCCCTCTTTGCCAGCTGAGTCAAGGGAGTATATATATATATTTACATTGCCCCCAACAATCTGGGTCCTCATTTTACCTACCTCGGAAGGATGGAAGGCTGAGTCAACCTTGAGCCGGTGAGATTTGAACCGCTGACCTGCTGAACACAGTCAGCTAAAGTGGCCTGCAACACGGCACTCTAACTGCTGCGCCACCTCGGCTTATGTAACTTTTACAACTTAACTTACATCAAGGTTCATAAAACGCCAAATGAAAGACATTTGCAAAAAAAAACTTTCAAACTTTCAGGAAATCAGCTTCCCCCCCCCCCCGCCCCCTACAAAGTTTTGTTGAACTGTTGCATTACCTGACAGGGTTACTAGTCAAGGAAACCCGAAGCGATTCGAGGCAGCTGACAAGTTTTTCATCCATTGTTCCAGATTTTAATTCATCGATGAATTCCTGAGGGAAAATCTGCCTTCTACTCTTGAGGCTTCCCTGAAAGAGGATAATCACACGTGTTATGAAAAGAATATAAATAATGTTCACATCCATGCCGGTCAATCTGGAACCTTCTTCGTTCTAATGGGGCCTGCTAAGTGCATAGATCTAGGTTGAATATGGAGCCTATGCATAGACCTATGCTGAATATGAAATGTTTATGCTGGTTGAGGGATATATTAACATTGGACTTAGAGTTAAAACCTGAACTCTTCTTGTTGGGAATAACGACAGAAAAATACGACAAGGGAACAATCTACCTGCTGCTACACATCCTGACTGCAGCTAGGCTTGCTTTTGCGCAAAAATGGAAGAGCAAGGAAATTCCCACAGTTAATACATAAAATATTAGCATGTGCGGAAATGGACAGGCTCACAATGATATTAAAAGACAAATGTGGATCAGTTTATTATGAAACCTGGGATAAATTTTACCGCTGGAGGAATTTGAAGAGGACAGTCAGGATTAAAGATGAATGTTAAGATAGGAATATATGTTATTTTAGAACAAGTATTGTATATAAAACTTAGATGTATATGTAGAGATGAAGAATTGATTGTAAAAAGTGGAATAATCTGATAAGAATGTATATACTGGAATGTCACGTTAAATCCAATGTTTGTTTGTTTTTAACTGTATTATAAATAAAATTTGGGGAAAAAAAGAAATGTTTATGAAATAGGAAACATATTTCATCTCCTCCCCTTGGGGACCCACTATAGGACATTGCATGCAAAAACTATTCACTGGGACAGTTTTTTCCCCCTTGTGCCATCACTCTGCTGAACTCCTAATTACCACAGCGCTGTCTTATGCCCATGGACAATTTAGCCATGAAAAATGGATGTATTAATATTATTCTCATCTTTTTTGACTACCTTCTCTTATTGGTATCATTATTATAATTTTATTACTTTGTTTTGTGTGTACACTGAGAGCTTATGCACCGGAGACAAATTTCTTCTGAGTCTCATCACACTTGGCCAAATAAAGTATTCTATTCTATTCTTATTCTTATTCTATTCTATCCCATCCCATCCCATCCCATCCCAATCCATATTGCCATTCTATTCTATTCTATTCTATTCTATTCTATTCTATTCTATTCCATTCCATTCCATTCCATCCCAATCCATATTGCCATTCTATTCTATTCTATTCTATTCTATTCCATTCCATTCCATCCCAATCCATATTGCCATTCTATTCTATTCTATTTCATTCCATCCCATCCCAATCCATATTGCCATTCTATTCTATTCTATTCCATCCCAATCCATATTGCCATTCTATTCTATTCTATTCCATTTCCCATCCCATCCCAATCCATATTGCCATTCTATTCTATTCTATTCTATTCTATTCTATTCTATTCTATTCCATCCCATCCCAATCCATATTGCCATTCTATTCTATTCTATTTCATTCCATCCCATCCCAATCCATATTGCCATTCTATTCTATTCTATTCCATCCCAATCCATATTGCCATTCTATTCTATTCTATTCTGTTGCAATTCATTCTATTCCATTCTATTCTATCCTATCTCCTATCCCATCCCACCCCATCCCATTCTACTCTCTTATTCTATTCTACTCTATTTCTATTTTCATCCAATCCCATTCTATATACAAATGCTGACAAATCATCACAACTAGGGGCATCACCATAATTGCTTTGAAATCAATGGGATCTACTTCAATTACAAACAGTAAAATATACTTAAGGTCAAAGTCCCAATTAATAACACTACATTGAATGTATGCTTGGCTCATTTTCATTGATCATAGGTCTTGATAGCCAACCTTGACAAATCTTGAAAAGTCTAGACCAGGGGTCTTCAAACGTGGCCCTTTTATGACTTGTGGACTTCAACTCTCAGAATTCCTCACCCAGTGTGCTTGGCTGAGGAATTCTGGGAGTTGGTCCATAAGTCATAAAAGGGCAATGTTTGAAGACCCCTGTCTCAAATCTAACAAACAAAATGGAGGCTGGCTGAGGAAATCTGGGAGTTGAAGTCCACAAGTCATAAAAGGGCCATGTTTGAAGACCCCTGTCTGAAATCTAACAAACAAAATGGAGGCTGGCTGAGGAATTCTGGGAATTGAAGTCCACAAGTCATAAAAGGGCCATGTTTGAAGACCCCTGCACTAGTGCATGCTGGGGTCTCCTTCTTCCGTTTGCTTACCTGCCTCAAAGCAGCACTAGTGTACTGCAACACCATCTCCTTCTTGATGCGCAAGTCTTTTTCTCTTAACGGAACTTTTCGATCCTCATTTAAATTCATGTCTTCCTAAGAAGGAAAAGGTAACGCAGGTGTGAGATCGCAAATATATCCCCCCCCCCAAAAAAAAGCAGAGAGAAACAGTGTGAGGTCTGCTTTAAAAGTCAAGAGGCCGTAACAATCGCATTTATATTATCGCTCAAAGGTCAGTTGAATTTCAATGAAGAGGAGGAAAACAAAAGACAAACGCGGGGCAAGGCTAATCGAACAAACAAAAAAAGGAAGCTTTTCCCGGTGCCATTTGGAGGCGATATTGTGGGTCCTAGAATAAGCCTTGCTTTCATTTAGCTCAAGTAACTTTGTGTCACCTTCCCAATAAACAGATATTCCATGAAAAGAGAGATAGAGAGCACCCCGTTCAATTCCTCCTGTTCAAATAAAAAATGCCAGCTTTCCATTTTCTCCTCATTTTCTCAATCCATGGGGTGGAAAGCAACTTTTAACTAGCTTGCTTAGGAGGTAACATCCTGCGATTCCATTCTCACTGAGGAAAACAGGCTGTCACTCCCCCCCCCCCAATCAGTAAATAAGGGCAAAAACCGATGCTTCAACAAAAATCTTGATATTTCCCATCTTCTTTAAAAAAAAAAATCCGTATTTTCATCAAGGTCTCCATCACAACACCAAACTATGCCTTTTCTCCTCTTTTATTGACGGATTAAAACAGGGGTCTTCCAACTTGGCCCTTTCATGACTCGTGGACTTCAACTCCCAGAATTCCTCAGCCAGGCACGCTGGCTGAGGAATTCTGGGAGCTGAAGTCCACGGGTCATAAAAGGGCCAAATTGGAAGACCCCTGGATTAAAATGTGCACTGCAAAGAGGGCTCTTGCTACAATGAACCGGTGTGCTAAATTGTTAGTCTCATGGGGCGGGAAATTCACAGGAAGGAAACGGAACCCCTTAGAAACCCCTTCATTTGGTGACATTGGTCTTTTTACCCAGCTGGTTGAGAACTCAGCACCACTAACTATGAGGATTCAACAGCCTCTCTGCCAGTTAGGTTTAGTAGCTTATACTTATTCAAATGATTGGCTGTTAGTTTCTGAATTTCCTGGTGTTTACCATATTTTCCGGCGTATAAGACGACTTTCTAAACCATGCAAATCTTCTCCGAAGTCAGGGGTCATCTTAAACACCGGAAAGTACCATATGTTCCGGCGTATACGATGACTTTCTAACCATGCAAATCTTCTCCGAAGTCGGGGGTCGTCTTATACGCCGGAAAATATGGTAATTCTTTAGGGGAAAAAAAACAGGCTGCTTTCTTTATTTCTGAGCGATGACGCAGCAGGAGCTTGTCAGCTGGAAAGCTGACAGTCCGGGTTCGAGCTCCGAGCTGTGAATAATGAGTGAGCTCCCATTCCCAGCTGCTGCTCACCTAGAGTTTGAAAGCATGCAAATGCGAGTAGATAAATAGGCATCACTTCGGTGGGAAGGTAACAGGCCACATAACCACGGAAATGTCTTCCTTCAACGCTGGTTCTCTCAGCCAAGACACGGAGATGAACACCGTGCCCTAGAGTCGGACACGACTAGAGAGGGAAACCTTGACCTTTATTTTTAAAGCAAACAATTGTAAAAACCTTTGCTTGATTGCTTCATAAATATTGCTAGGCTCGTACAATGTATGGTTTGTATGGTTTGATTTTTTTGACATGAGATGTTCTATGTACTCAACTAGTGTGGTTGACAAAGTATCTGTTAGATTACATGGATATAAGCCAGTGGTTCTCAACCTTTTTAATGCCGCGACCCCCAACCAGTCGTAAGTTGAGGACTACTCAACTGGTGCAGCACCGTTTGGAGAATGGGACTTTTGGAGGGCTCAGCAGGGCAGAGACAGCCTGGACAATTCCTACTGGCTTTTGAAAGCCAATAGAATTAGACTCTATTCAAGAGAGTCTATTCTATTGGCTTTCAAAAGCCAATAGAATAAAAGGGAGTAGCACAGCTAAGAAAAAGGGGGAAAAAATGGCGGACTGCGTTATTTGGCGACCCCCGTGAAATGGTCGTTCGACCCCAAATGGGGTCCCGACCCACAGGTTGAGAACCACTGATATAAGCAGTCATTCTATTCACCATAGAATGCAAACAACAACAACAATAACACCCCATGTCTAACCATATTCTGTTGACAATGGGATATCTGTTTTAAGGAGCTGAGGGGCAGACAAATTCTTATCAGTGCCATCGTTTCACAGGAATGATAATTTTCACAGGGCAGTTTAGGAATTACGTATCGAATTCAGAAACAGATCTGCAATTCTCACCATCATTTTTTCAAAGAGCGCAAGGATCTCTTGATCAGATAAATGAGCAGGCAAGAAGTCCTCCATCTCTGCAGGGGTGGTACATTCACTTGATGAGCAATGCCCCTGTTTCCAAGACGGGAGAGCCGGTCTGTCTTTTTTGCTGCCTGGAATCCGTATGCTGGAAAACTTATCAAACTGCACAAAAACCAAGAATAAGCATGTCTCAGCAGGTACACAGTTAGACCAAAAAAAAATAAAAATTCCCCATTTCTTAAAAAAAAAAAAAAAAGATTTGGCGCAAAGAAACACAACTGATTACCCAGAACCTTTAAAAGCAAGCCAAAAAGTTTGATTATACAGTAGACCGGACACCATGTATTCCTAATCCTGAGTGAGAAACCGATCAACTACAATTAAAGGGGTTGAAAGCATAAATGAGAATGGGAAGGGGAGCAATACATAGGGAGAAAATGAAGTACTGATACCCCCAAGAAGAAGAAAGAATTCAGTTGAAAGACATTTAAAGATTCCTAGCAAGAATTGAAGAAACTTTCCACATTATGAACCACATACACTGTGCAGCCATCCTCTTTTTCTCTTTGGTTAAGGAGACAAATAAACCCTTTTATGCCTCTTCAATTATGTGGTGTCAACTGGGACTTTGCCAACATACAGTTTTTGCACTGTATGTAGATAGATAGATAGATAGATAGATAGATAGATAGATAGATAGATAGATAGATAGATAGAGACATAGACAGATATAGACATAGAAACATAGATATAGACAGAGATAGATAGACAGAGACAGATATAGAGATAGATATAGAGACATAGACAGACAGACACAGAGATAGATAGATAGATAGATAGATAGATAGATAGATAGATAGATAGATAGAGAAAGAGACAGATATAGAGATAGATAGATATAGAGACATAGATAGAGACAGACAGACAGAGAGATATAAATAGACAGGGACAAACAGACAGACAGATAGATAAACAGATAGATAGACAAATAGACAGAGACAGATATAGATAGATAGATAGATAGATAGATAGATAGATAGATAGATAGAGTCATAGATAGATAGAGTCATAGAGACAGATATAGATATATTTATATATAGATACAGACAGAGACAGACAGACAGAAATACGTATATATAGTGAAGAATTGAGTCTTTAAAAGAATGGGGCAAATGTTGTAAAACAAATATTCCAACGGCATAAACTTTATGAAACTCCAAGTTAGGTGGTATGGATCTAAGATATCAATTCTAACTAAAGAAAAATCTGGATTAAATTGCCATTTCTGCAAATCAGGTTTTAATAAACACAGTTGCAGGAAAACTGTTTTCTACACCCAAGGGGAAAAAAATCTGCTCCTAGATATTTTTTTTTTCTTCCCAAAATTATAATAGTTTTGTAATCTTATATTAAAGCATAACTCTTGACCATCAACATTTCTCTCCTTTATCGTTCAGTACGGCTATTTTGCAAGCCGTAATGTCTCCCGGATTCAGAAGAGGCTGACTCCCATCTCAGGGCACGAATCCAATTTAATACAGTACTTGCAAAGAGAATGAATGCATTTCCTGCCCGAACACATTCTGCAAAAAAAAAAAAGAAGCTCATCTTCTCATAATCAGGTTTAGTACTGAATGTGTAAACTGTAAGTTACATTTTGTCAGGGTCCGCTTTGCTGTAACTTAACGTAATTACTTTTGGTTCCGCTTCCTTAAGGTGGTAGGGAAGAGATTGAGTTTCTTTCCGTTTGGCGACTTTTCAAGTACTTGAAAAACTGTCCGCCTGCTCAGTCTCAATCATCTTTAGTCAAAATTAAACTGTTCTTCTCGTTCCTTCTTAACAGTTTTGCAATCTTCTTCCTTGCCTTTATCTGAAAACAGACCAACTGCGGAGTCTGGTTCCAGTTCTCACTGAAGGGGCACTTGACAATTTTCTGAGATTTTTGAAACTACGCTTCTGTGGACGCAAGCCTACAATTGCTTTTGCTTTCCAGGCAACAACACCGCTGACCTTTTGTTCAATCTGTGATTAATTACAAATCCAAGAATCTTTTCATGTGTCAACTGTTACCAAGCCAGGTAACCCCCCCCCCCCATCCTAGACCTACAACTTTGATTACTTTCCACCAACTCTTTTAATCCATCAAGGCGGCATTTGGTCATCTGCAAATTTAATAAGCGTTTCCGTATCTGTCAACTTTGCAAGGCGCTCCAGACAGGAAGCATGCCCAGAAGTAGTAGTGGTAAAGGAGACCATTTGTCGCTCAGGGGTTGAAATGAGGGGTCCTGGGGGGGGGTCTCTGAGCTGGATTGTTTCTTGCAGACATTTCATTACCCAAACCAAGTTACAGTAGCATCAGACTAGCACTACAGTAGTGGCCAAAATTGGGGAAACCTTTTGGGAAAAGTGTATTCTTGAGGTTTGATGGCTAGTAACACCACTTTTTTTTTGGAGTAGTACCATAAAATTATATATCATTGGAAAGATAATGTAATGCAACAAAGTTTGTTCAATTATCTGTACTGTATTCTATGAAAAGTTATAGCCAAATAACCAGAAAAAGGAAGCACAACTTGCTTAGGTTGATATCAGGAGCTTTCCTTCATCTGATTGTAGCCAATGAGCACAAATGTTTAGAGAGCCAATCAGGTGCCATCTTGTTTTGGCAATGAGCCAATCAGATCACAGTAGGATTCAGTTCTTGATATCATGTATTGAAGTTGAGAGGAGGACATTTGCCAGTGTGTTGTGTGATCACTATCAAGTTGGTTGGGTTTTTTTTGTGTTCTTTCATTTAGTGAGCTTGCAAAACGTAATAAAATTAAAGTCATGGTGCAAAGAGTTGACTGGTTGCCCAGAAAGCCATGTCAAATAGTATTATTAAGTGGACAAGGCTACAGTTATAAAAAAATTAGAAGAAAAATGAGTGGAAACTTAACCAAAGGTGGCATTTCTACTGTACACAAAACATGTTCTCCATAATCCATGCTGCCCTCTTATAATCACTGTACTATTTTCAAGGTGCTTATATGCTGATTTTGTAGCAACTATTCTAGAATCTTCTTGGGTATCAATGTCAGAGTGTTTATTTATAGCTTGCTAGATATAACTTCCACAGATAAGGAGGGCTCTTCCAGTAATTTGGCACTTCACCAGATTTCTGGGGTTTCTTAAAGATTTGGCTAGGCCATCAGTAAATATCTTTAACACTGTAGAATGCAATTAATATAGCCATTGAAATTTGCACTTATTCATTTTTTTTCTAGAAACTTGACCTGGAATCCTTTTTAACAAACTCATCTGTCCTCTTTTCAGAAAAAAAAGTAGTCAATAGAAATTAATACGTTTGTACTGCATTTTTTCTTTTAACTGGATACTTTAAATAAAAGATATCAACAAGCAAAAGAGAAAATTTTTGAGGAAACAGTACATCAGTCCAAAGCAGGAAGCCAGAAGTAGATGATATGCTTAGATCATAACTCCATTTCTAGGCCCAAGGAACTTTGCATGGGTAGGATATAAAAGCCAGCCATAATTCAACATAGAAAAGAAAGGATAAGGTGGTGATTGTGTTTCCACAAAACACAAAATCAGGACAATCATGCAACATCTTAACATGTTGTGTGAACACAGCAGGAATGATAGAAGGAGCTATAGAGATTGGCTTTATATGTCAACAGACAACTATATACAAAGAAGCAGGACGCATAACAGATTATTTTCCAAAACAAATTCTTCTTAAATTTACAATAATGAAAACAAAATATCTTACCACATCATCTGTCAAAATCTTGAGGTGCAAGGGCTGTAAATGAAATAAATGAAACAAACCATCTGTTAAGGCGATTTAAGCTATTAAAAGTATAAATAAAATACTTAAAATACGTAAAGAAATGCTTTCACATAAAAGTGATCCTACTAGGCTTTTCAAATTTAGGTGGAATATAAATGTATATGACTAAAACTATGTGACCCAATATATGTATAATCCCCCCCAAAAAAAATTCAAAAGACAGCTGTCACTTAAAACACAATTAAACTGTTGTGTGTTTTGATTTAAATGATGGTTTAGCACCATATGCAATCCTAGTGGACAATCACTTAAATATCAGGTAGCCGTGTGCTGCACCTGCCAAAATAGGCAACAGAGTGCTAAGCTGCATTAACAGAGGGATAGAATCAAGATCACGTGAAGTGTTGATACCATTTTATAACACCCTGGTAAGGTCACATTTGGAATACTGCATCCAGTTTTGGTCACCACGATGTAAAAAATATGTTGAGACTGTAGAAAGAGTGCAGAGAAAAGCAACAAAGATGGTCGGAAACTGGAGGCTAAAACATAAGGAATGGTTGCTGGAATTGGGTATGTCTAGTCCAGTGGTTCTCAACCTGTGGGTCGGGACCCCATTTGGGGTCGAATGACCATTTCACGGGGATCGCCAAACCATGCTGTCCGCCATTTTTTTCCTTTTTCCCTAGCTGTCCTACTCCCTCTTATTGGTGGCCACACCCACTTGGGGGTCACCACAACATGGGGAACTGTATTATGGGGTCACGGCATTAGAAAGGTTGAGAATCACTGGTCTAGTCTAATGAAGAGAAGGATGAGGGGGGACATGATAGCAGTGTTCCAATATCTCAGAGGTTGCCCCAAAGAAGAGGGAGTCAAGCTATTCTCCAAAGCACCTGAAGGCAGGGCAAGAAGCAGTGGACGGACACTAATCAAGGAGAGAACCAACCTAGAACTAAGAAGAATTTTCCTGACAGAACAATTAATCAGTGGAATGGCTTGCCTTCAGAAGTTGTGGGTGGTCCATCAGTGGAGCTTGTTAAAAAGAGATTGGACAGCCATTTATCCAGAATGGTATAGAGCAAGGGTCCCCAACCTGTAGGCCAAGGCCCATGATGGGCCCCAGGCTATTGGCCACTGGGATGCGTGAGTGGCTGGCCGGTGCACGCTTGTGTATGTGCATAACACCACTTGTGCAAGCGTCATGGACGTTCCTCACTCATGCAAATGTTGCCACAAGTGTCACGGGCATTTATGGCCACACTCACATGAGCATCTCAGTCTTTGGTGGCCCCACTCGCATGAGCATCGTCGCAAATGTTGTGGGCGTTTGTAGCCCTTGTAAGCAACAGGTGTTTGTGGCCTCGCATGCACATGTGTTCATCCCTCCCTCCCCACTCTGGGCCATCAACCCCAAAAGGTTGAGGAACTCTGGTATAGGGTCTCCTGCTTGACAAAGGGGTTGGACTAGAACAGGGGTAGGCAACCTTGGCTCTTTTAAGACTCGTGGACTTCAACTCCCAGAATTCCTGAGCCAGCATGGCTCAGCTTGGAAACCTCTCCCTTTCCCCTCAGCATGGCTGGCTCAGGAATTTTGGGAGCTGAAGTCCACCAGTCATAAAAGAGCCAAGGTTGCCTACCCCTGGACTAGAAGATCTCCAAGACCCCTTCCAACTTTGTTATTCATATGCTATAAGCTGCTGGGATGCTTCAAGCCATAATGGTATAGTTATATACATTGCATAAATGAAACCATTGCTTAATAGCTGAGGGAAATGAAAACATACAACAGGGTTCTTCATACTTGGCTCTTTGATGACTTGTGGACTTCAAGTCCCAGAATTCCTCAGCCAGGTTTGAAGACCCCTGACGTACAACTTCCAACTAGCCTTCGCTTTTCATACAAACAACTGTTGTTGTTTTTGCACTTTGTTAAGTAGTAGCTCAACCAATCTATTTTACTGGCTATGTTTGTCCTTAAGCTTATCAGATGTGACACCTTCTGCTGAAGATGGGACTTGCTCCATTCAGACAAAGCAATATAAAGATCTGAGGATATTATTATCTTCTGGAAATATCCTGTGAGAGAAAAGCTCAACAGAAGGGCTGAAACTCGCTACAGATTTTCCCGCTTCAGAATGCACCTCAGCTAGTAAAGATTATGAAAACTATAAATATGATTTTGCAACATTAAACCTGTCTGTTGCAAGGCGGTATAAGCATCTACTTATTGTATTAAAAAGAAATATGAAATAGCACCTTTTTCGTTGTTTTTATGTTGCTACTTTAGGTGGCTGCTATTCAGTGTAAGCTCAGACGAACTGACAATAAAAAAAAAACCCAGACAACAACAACAAAAAAATATGTAACAAAGTAATAAGCATCAGACCAAATAGAAACTGTTGCACAAAAGAAATACTGCCTATGATCTTAAGCAAGTAAGTCAAAGCTTTCGCTTAGCAATAAAAAGGAAAGAAAAACAGCAACTTGTATAATAACCCCTTAGGGAAGATAAACGTGATCTCTGAATTCTTCACCATCTGCCTCAGCTGCAGAACTCAATATATAGTAGTTTTTGTACAAGGAAAAAGACAGTCTTTCAACTAATTTTGGATAAAAGTTGTAACAAAGAAGCTAAGCCATGATAGCTTTTACACAAATTCCTCGTTACAATACCACAACAGCAACAACACTTAGACTTATATACAGCTTCACAATGCTTTGCAGCCCTCTCTAAGTGGTTTACAAATGTTAGCATATTGTCCCCAACAATCCGAGTCCTTGTACCAACCTAGGAAGGGTGTGTAGGAAAGCCCCCTCCTCTCCCCAGAATGATATATTCTTTATTCTTAATATTAAACAGAGACATCCTTTCCAAAATGCAGCCTGCCTGCAGATCATTTTTCCAGCCTCTTTCTCCAGGCTTGGAATCAGACCAGACTTATGCCTTCCCAGTGCAGGTCAATCCCCTTCCCCAAAAAAGGGTGCTTTAAAATCATTTAGGAGGATCCCTTTCACAGTGTGCAAGGGACCCTCCCAAGCCCCCTTAAGCCTCGCAAGATTTGTTTTTCTCCCCATGTACAGTATATCTAGACACCCACACTAGATTGTGTTGTTTCTCTGGACCACATATGTGTGTGTAGGTGGGCATATGCATAATATATTTTATTTATTTATTGTCATTGTTTATACAGTGTCTGTTGGGGGTGGTTGCCCTTTGAGAGCTGAATGCAACGGAATTTTAATGTATGCTGAGTAGTGTACACTTAAAGTGACAACAAAGTTATTATTCTATTCTATTCTACTATTCTATTCTATATTCTGTTCTATTCTATATTCTATTCTATTTTCTGTTCTATTTTCTATTCTGTTCTCCTACTCTCCTATCCTATCCTATTCTATTCCTAAACCTCCTTCCTTATGCACTAATGCAACCTCTATCATTTTCTCATCCCTTCCCAGTGCAGGTCAATTCCGTTCCCAATAAAAGGGTGCTTTAAAATCACTTAGGACAGTGGTGGTGAACCTTGTAGAGACCGACTGCCCAAACTGCAACCCAAAACACACTTATGTGTCGCCAGGTGCCAGGCGGGTGTGGCCCGCTGGGGGGGCGTGGCTGTGGGTGGTCATGGCACTGGGTGGGTGTGGCCAAGGTAAGCGTGGTCACCTTGATGTTGCTCGTGGGGAGGGACGCCTGTGGGAGCCAGGCAGTGTTGGGGGAGATCCGGGGAGTCGTGGACAGGAGGCTCGTCCTGCGGGATGAGACAAGGCGAGGCAGGGCGGGGTGCCATTGTCGCAGGGCAAGGTGACGCAGGGGCTGGGGCGGCTGCTGCCTGACACCATCGCCCCCCGCACACAGAAACCAACGAGCGCATGGGGGCCAACAGTGTCCGTCAGCAGCCACAGCCTGCCGGACCCTCAACCGGCACACTCTGGGGCTCCGCAGCTCACCACCAGCAGTGAAGCCACCTCTGAGCTGGACGGGCCGGCCGACAGCTGAGGAGGCGATGCAGTGGGTCGCGCCGGGGAAAAGGAGAGCATTCGAGGCCAGGAGGAACAGGACGGGGGAGTAGGGAAACCAGCCGTGCTGGGATGCATCCGGCCACGTAGGACCTCGGTGAGTTAGTGGGCAGCTAGTTGAAGAGGGTCGGTTGCCATCTCTGGGGCGTGGCGCGCCTGCCCACAGAGAGGGCTCGGAGTGCCACCTCTGGCACCCGTGCCATAGGTTCGCCACCACTGACTTAGGAGGAGCCCTTTCGCAGTCTCCAAGCCCCCTCCCTTATGCCCTAATTGTCAAGTTTGGAGACCCCCCCTTCCTTACACCCCAATGCAGGGGTCCCCAAAGTGGGCAATTCTGGGAGTTGAAGCCCACGACTCTTAGAACAATGCAACCCCAATCATCCTTCCTCTCCCCTTGCCCAGGAGCAACTGCATTTCCTCCTGCCCCCCCCCACCCCCAAAGGCTGCCCGGGGCAGCAGCAGCAGCCCCCGCTACTTACGAACTTGGCTTTCTTGCTGCTGCCGCCGCTGCTTCCTTCCGAGCCGAGCGCCTCCGCGGCTTGCCTGCGAGGCGGCTGGTTTTTCCCGCGAGGAGCCCTCTCCATGGCGGCCTCTCGGAGAGGCGGCGGCGGCGGCGGCCGAGACTCCCCCGACAGACAAATCCCCCCGGCTCGAATTCTCCCGCCGCTCTGGCCACGCCCCCTCCGGCGCAGACGTCGCCCAATCCCAGGGCCGCGCATGCCGGAAAGCGGCCTCCGGATTGGGCGAGCGCGGGGACCAATCGCCGCTCGCCTTAACCGTCGTCTGGGTGGGGTGGGGTGAGGTGAGGAGGAGGGGGCGGGCGCGCGGTGACGTCACTCGCCCGCTGAGGAGCCTCCGCCTCAGCGGAGGGGTCACTCCGGAGTCGCTACTCCTCGGAGTAAGGCGGGGTGTAATTCATTGGGGGGTGGGGAGGGGTGTGTGATCCCGTTGGGTGCTTCTGGCCGGTGTGGGTGTAGGTAAGTGGGGTAGCGAAGGAGAGGCGGGTTGCGAAACGCACAAATAGGATGCAAACTGTCATATGTATATATTTATTTTATTCATTAAGCTTATTCATATTTATTTATATTATGTATTTTATGGATATATTTAACTTATTTAGTTAACTTATTTATATTATATATTTAACCTATTTATTTTATTGATTTATTTAACTTATTTATTTTTATATTATTGATTGATTTATTTACAGTATTTATTTAACTTATTTATTTTTATATTGATTTATTTATATTATTTAACATTTATTTTATATTTATTTTATTAATTTATATAATAATAATTAATAAAGTTGGAAGGGACCTTGGAGGTCATCTAGTCCAACCCCCTGCTCAGGCAGGAGACCCTACACCATTTCAGACAAATGGCTGTCCAGTCTCTCTTATTTATTTAACTTATTTATTTTAACTTATTTATTTTATTGTTTTATTTATATTATGCATTTTTATATTACTTCTTATATTTATTTATATCATTTTATTTATTTAAATTATTTAAATTTATAAATTATGAATCCTTATTATTTTAAATTATTATTTAAAAAAATATTTATTGATAAATTTGTTTGCGGCCCACCCTACCTCCCCGTGGGGCTACTCTAGGCAGCTGGCAACAATAAAAAGGAAGAGAAATGAAAAACGCCTGTATAACAGAACAAAATAAAATAATAGAACAATAACGAGGACGAGGGAACTCAACCGGAAGAAATGCATCGATATGATAACCAAATATAAGGATAAATGTATAATGATAAATAAATGCATTCATGAAAATAGAATAACACATATATACATTTTTTTATTGAGAGTGTCTTCATACAAAATACCAATGAAAAAAATGATAGGAAAGAAGGGAAAGAAAGGAACAGAAAAATGTGGAATCTAGCAGAAGAATTTAAAAAAAAAATTGACTTCCAACTTTTTCAGCTCAGTGAAACACTAACTAAATTTACAACCTCGACTTTTTACTGTTACATTCTTAGTAAGCACCAACCATTTCCTTAACAATTAATCAGAAAATTCCAAAGGCAGAATTTCATTTTTCAAGCACAAAGTTTAGAAGCTGTTACCAAGTGGAAACAAAACTAGATGTATATACTTTTCTCTTTACAACAGTTAATTTTGCTCTCTCTGTCAGGTTTTTTTCTGATCATTCTTTTCATGGTGGGAGTTGACTTCTCTTTCCATTTTTGTGCATATAGGATTTTCACCACTATACCGTATATAATATATGTAATAACAAACTTCCAGATTTTCTTTCAAGCTTCTTATCCAATATTCCTTTTAAAAAAAAAAAAGCTGCTGGTTTCAAGTTTTGTATTCATCTTAAGGATCTTCAGCACTAAAGCGTGAATCTGGCCTCAATATTTCTTTGCGTTATTACAAATCCACCCAAGATGATAACAAGTTCCTTCTTTACAATTCCAACACACGTTCTGAAACATTGTTATATATCTTTGACAATTTGTCAGGCATTATCTGCCAACAATACATCGTTTTGTAAAAGGTTATAGCTCAGTGTAAATGCCAAAGCATTAATCCATCTATTTTCCTATTGCTCAAGCATGATATTATACAGGTAGTTCTGAACAACAGCTCATTTAGTGACCGTTCAAAATTACAACGGTACTAGAAAATGTGACTTACGACCGTTTTCACAGTTACGACTTTTGCAGCATCTCCATGATCATGCGATCAAAATTCCGATGCTTGGCCACTAATTCCTATTTACGACAGTTGAAGTGTCCCGGGATCCTGTGATCACCTTTTGCGACCTTCTGACAAACAAAGTCAACGGGAAAGCTAGATTCAGCTAACAACTGGGTTACTAACTTATCAGCTGCAGTGATTTCATTTCACAAATGTGGCAAGAAAGATTGTCAAATTTGCAGACGACACCAAGCTGGCAGGAATAGCCAACACTCCAGAAGACAGGCTTAGGATACAGGAGACAGACTTGAATACTGGGCGCTGTCTAACAAAATGAAATTCAATGGTGAAAAAAAATAAAGGTTCTACTTTTAGGCACGAAAAACCAAATGTACAGGTATAGTATAGGTGGTACCTTGCTCAATAGTAGTAACTGTGAGAGGGATCTTGGAGTCCTAGTGGATAATCACTTAAAGAGGAGCCAGCCATGTGCTGCAGCTGCCAAAAAAGCCAGCACAGTTCTAGGCTGCATTAACAGAGGGATAGAATCAAGATCACATGTTAATACCACTTTACAATGCCTTGGTAAGGCCACACTTGGAATACTACATCTAGTTTTGGTCACCACGATGTATAAAAGATGTTGAGACTCTAGAAAGAGTACCGAGAAGAGCAACAAAGATGATTAGGGGACTGGAGGCTAAAACATAAGGAAAGGTTGCTGGAATTGGGTATGTCTAGTTTAATGAAGAACAGATGAAAACTAACCAAAGAGAGAAGCAACCTAGAACTATGGAGGAATTTTCTGACAGCTAGAACAAATAACCAGTGGAACAACCTGCCTCCAGAAGCTGTGAATGCTCCAACACTTGAAGTTTTTACGAAGAGACTGAACAGCCATTTGTCTGAAATGGTATAGGGTTTCCTGCCTGTGCAGGGGGTTGGACTAGATGACCTCCAAGGTCCTTTCCATCATTATTATTATTGTTGTTATTATTATTATTATTATTATTATTATTATTATATGGGGCAAAACATACTTGACAAATGTCTCACTTAACAACAGAAATATTAGTCTCAGTTGTCGTAATATGTGTATTCAAAATTATTTGACCACTGAATCATACAGTGTTTGACATACTCATTTTCCAGGTTCAGGCCATCCTTCAATTGTCATAGAGCAACTGATCTTAGTAGTATTGTAATTTCCATCATGGCTATTAATCTACCATAAACACAAAACAAATTTGTACCTTATTTCCCTCTCAATTTGTGGCAATAAATCACATACCTGAAATTACCTGTTGTATAAAAGGTACAGTTATGTCATCCCAGTTAGTCATCTGTAAAAAAAAAAACACCTTAAGTCAGAAGTCCCCAATCTTTTGGGCATCAAGGATCATTTCTGTGGAGAAAGGTTTTTCCGTAGACCGGAGAGTGTGTGGTTTTGTGTGCTGCCTGCATCCCACGGATGGGGCTTTGCTTGATTGTGAGGACCGATTGCTGGCATGCCGTGGCCCGGTACCGGTCCACGGATCGGGGATTGGGGACCCCTGCCATAAGCACTAAGATCTGAACTAAGGAGAAATTTCCTGACAGTTAGAACAATTAATCAGTGGAACAACCTGCCTCCAGAAGCTGTGAATGCTCCAACACTGGAAGTTTTTGTTTTTTTTTTAAAGAAGAGACTGGATGTATGCAAAACAGCAAGTACTAAGATTGGATTAGAATTAACTGTCTTAAGGAACACTTGCCAATTATCTTTGATCCAGGAAAAAAAAATAACGTGTATGTGAAGTTATTTCTACAAAAATAGACTTGGAAAGAATGTCTGTTTTGTTTTTGCTTTTTTATGATACCACATTCTGACATACCACACATTCAGTGCTAAATAGTAGAAGACTGGACTTACACCAGATTTTATCACTGCTGTCATGTGGAGGAGCCCATTTTTAATGAGCAGAACAAGTTAAACAATCACACACATGCTGTGAGGGAAAAAAGGAACATCTGCTATCCCCGATCATTACTTGACTACTCAGGTTTATACCATAATTGTTTTGTTCCGTGGGCATTACGAACCTGTCACCTACCAAATATCAACTTTGTGGTGGAAATCCCCACTTGCATATTGATCGAGATATCCCCTATCCCACTGAATTGCATAATTTAAAGGTCTGGTCACGTTTGGGGGGAAACAGCACATATTCCAAATTTTACACTCTGTTCTCTGTGGATTTCATAACAGGTGTCTCAGACATACAAAGCAGATGGCCTTCAAAACGCATAGTTTTAATCTATTGCTGGGAGAATAAGGATAGTACTGCATAAACGTTCATATGTGTCCCTTTTTTTACAACTGAAATCCATATGGCCCCATGTTTTTAATTATTTGCGATGAGATACATAGCATAACAGGATTATTATAAAGATTCGCATACTTATGCTACAGAATGTATGTTACGGCTGGGTTTGCCCGTCTGTTTATAAGCCAGTGATTCTCAAATAGGGTAAACTACACCTTTATTTATGTTACAAACGTACTCCATTACAACAGAAATCTAATTTTGTTTGTAAATAAGAATCCTATAAACGTTTTGAAGATTGAGCTTGGTCTCAAAAGGATATATGTTGTCGAGGGTTGTGAATATATTTGCTGACAAGCTAAGCCTCAACTAAAAAACGTTAGATTTTGAAAATCGCCATTTATATGAAAGAAAATTCTCTGCCAAGTAATCTGGAGCAGGGATAATTAACCTGTTGTCAACCAATGAAAATATATCATTTGGCCGGCCAATGAAGAGTAATAATGGTACTTTTATTGTTTACATCAGAGAAACCATTCAGAAGCACACACCATGATCTGCATGGGAGTCAAGCTATTCTCCAAAGCGCCTGAAGGCAGGACAAGAAGCAACGGATGGAAACTAACCAAGGAGAGA